GCCATTGTGGTTGAGAGAGGTCTCAGTGTGGCTGTTTCTGTGGTTGCAATGCTGAAAATAAAAGTGAGCGCCGTCTACCATGTGTGCTTGTGTGTGTTTGTGTGTATCTGACAGATATTCAATCTTCATCTGCAGCATCAAAACCGTTCGTCAAACGTGTTTTATTGTACGCGAAACTGCGCTATTTTCTGCGTCGCATCTCGCATCTCGCGGCTCGTTTTCTCTGTACCAGCAAGTGGCTTCGCTTTGGTTTGGTTCACTTCTGATCTATCTGGCAGCCAGCCCCCCTCTGCCTGACTGTACTTTTGCTGCCCGAGTCTGGGCCTGGTCACGACATCTGAGCAAGCGGCTGCCATGCCCGACGACAACAACGACAGCTCAAGGTCGCATTCCTTGCGCCTGACGCAGTCGCTCAGCAATTTGTTTTACTTTGATATTTTTTCAACAAGCTCCGCATGTCCGCATCTCAGTTCTGCCCAAGTGTGTGTGTGTGTATCTTTCTGTAGCTTCTTCCACATGGATTGCTGGAATGAATGATTGCTGTGGGGGCGGACAAATGAGCTTTGGGTTTTTAGCTACCGAAACACGATTGGGATTGGAGGAGTTCGAAATATATCACCCGCCCCGAGCAAGTGCCATTGAGTCAATCAACTTGAAGATTTTGGAAATACTTCACTTCAAAATGGGGAAGCGGATGCAAAGAACTAATGGCAGAATTCTAAAGCAAAATTCACGGCATAGAACATTGGAAATTGTATTTAATGAGTTTTTCTCTTGCTGCTAAAATTCCTTAGAAATAATTTTCATGTTTCATGTTCCTTTCTTATGTTTATTTCTTACGATTATCCCAAGAATTGTTTAGTGTTTTTTCTTTTCCATTTCTTGTGGCACTCCCACTCGCTGTAAATGGAATCCGCAGTTCCTGTTCATAGATGCTCGTTCCCGACCTCAGACATGGCCATTAACGCTCCCAGAGAAACGTTCGTGCGGCGGCAGTCGGTTCTTTCAGATGCCATCTACAACTAATTTATGATGGGTAGAGCCGCTGCGACTGCTGATGCTGCTATAAACAGGAGATGCCGATGCCCATGTCTCGCTGGATGAAGTCACGACCAAGTCCGCCTGGGAGAGAGAGAGCGGCAGCGGGGGAGTGTGTCTAGGTGTGTCCGAAGCTCAAGGGGAGCTCAGTGGGTTAATGGAACACAGCACTCTGTGCAGACAGCTCACCCCGCTCCTTCCCCCATAATGCCAAAAGTGTGCAAAGGCAAGGAGAATCAATTGAACGAACTGCGCGGCCAGGCCATGGCTCACATGGCCCTCGGTTCAGGGCGCAAATATGAGCATGTGTGCTCTCTGGCCCTGTCTGCTCTCTGGCAGTCCGTCCGTCAGCATCTCTTGTGCGTTTCAGCTTTTGGTACAGTTCGTCAGCCCAGAGTGGCAGAGTGAGGGAGGGTGGGAGAGGTTCAGAGAGAGAGAGAAATAACTTTAAACTTTTACTTTCACTGCCAATTTGAGTGAACGAGCAGAGCGGCAGTCCCTCAATTTGCATGGTAAACCCCTTACGGTTGGTGGATGTTGGAATGGGGCAACGGGTATCCCAACAATGTTTATTGTGTTGTGTTTTTGTTGTTGTTTCTGCTGTGTCTTAGACTCATTTGAAAATCTGTATCTGGCGGCAATTTAAGCGCGAAGATACACGACTACAAGTACTACAAGTTGTACGAGCATCTCCGCTCTTCTCGCTCCATTGTCTCTACGGTCTTTAGTTTAATTTCATTTTCACAACAACAGCCACGCACACTTGTACACACATGTGCTGCAATTTGATCGTCACGTTGAGATTGCAGCCGCCACAGCCAGGCAGCAGGCAGCAGGCAGCCAATGTTAATGATGAGCATTTGATAATAGTACCAGCTCTGGGCTCTTCCACCCAACTGTAGCTCCTCCATCTTCAGCTTTAACTGTTGTTGGACATGCTGCTCGCAAGAGCTGTTTACCCGATTATTTGCATGTATCTCGAGTGGCAGGAAAACGATCATCGTTGACTGCTTCGGCGAAAGTTTTTTGCCAAAAAAAAACAAAGTTGATCGAAACATCGAAGGGAGGATGCACCATGGATGGATTGGGCCAACAAGAGGATGGATTGATGGGGCAACAAAAGAGACTGAAAGTGAGAGAGTGAGAGCACATACTGGGAGAGAGAAGGAGCTTTCAGGGCACATCTCTCACCCTTTGTTGGGCCTCACATCTGGCACTTACTTCGGTCCCCAATCTGCCATCTCTGCTCTCTAATCAGCTGCAGATTGTTGACTTTTACCAACTTAATTGTGGCATCGAGAGTGTCGCACACAATTCTATTATTCCACCACATTCAATAATGTCAGCAGCAGCAGCACTTTGCCCCCCAGGCGAGAGATACAGAGGCAGAGCGGTGTGGCGATTACGTAGGCGCACGCGTCTTCCTCCCAAAAAAAAAAGAAAGAAAAGAAATTTCCAACATAAACAGCGCTGAATGGAAATTAAATGAAACGATATGAGAGTAGCCATAGAAAAACGAAATCTTACGAAATCATCGTCAGGTTCGTCGCTCGTCGTCATTGATGTGGATGTGGATGTGGATGTGTCGCATTTCAATATTTAAGCAGATGCAAGATAAACACACTCCACGATAAGCCCCTGCCCCAGCAAGTGAGAGTGGAGAAAGAAAGTTGGGCCGGCCATTTCCATAAGTTTTCTACCTAGTTGTTGCCTTTTGGCTACGTGCCGGCTGACACGCCCCTTGGCCTCGCTTAGAACCAAAAGACTTGGGCAACGAACCTGCCAGCTGCTGCATTCCACATATTTTGTTCCACCGCCTGCCAAGGTTAGCAGCGTCATTGCTGCGGTCAGGTACGAAACCCGATATCATATCGTACTGTGGGCCACAGTACACAGCTACAACTGCAACTGGGCTTACATCTGCATCTGTCTCTGGGTCTACGTGAGTGGACGGCACTTTAATTGCGCCTCTGCTGTGCGCAAAAATCTATGCAAAAACATTGCTTGTCTATTAAGAACAAGGCTAACATCAACCTGGCCTAATCTAGCATTGATTTAACCCCAGCGAACCGCAACGAATGCGAAAACTTTTCATAATTGTTTGAGTGATAAATGCAATGCAAACGCCAAAAGATTTAACGAATTTTGTGTAATATTTGATGGGGAATGCAGTTTGTAGAGCAAGTAAGGGAGAGACACTTTTAGTTGATTAAATGCGACAGAAACTCACTGCCAAATAGGAGTTTATTCTTCGCTGCAAGAACCTCCAAAGAGCAGCTAGATTTATAGCTCAGAGTATGTGCTCAATTCCATGAAAATGAAAGCCCTCAAAAGTACTCTCAGTCATAAAGTAGACTTGAAGAATCCCACTGAGCACATCTGAGATAGATTTGCCTTCTTTCGAAGCTTTGTGCACATTTTTTTTGCGCTGTTTGCATATTTTTTGTTGCTTGAAAAAGTCCAAAATCATATTGAGCTTCCAATCAAAGTTTCGCGTCTGCCCATATGCCACGCATAAACTTGATATTCAAAGTAGACTTTTCAATTTCTACGCGCATGGATATTTCCATAAATAAACCGCATAAATCAGAGCTCCAAACAGCGACTGACAGACGCTTGGCAGCGCGACTCCACGCGGCTCATTAGTAATCAAAAGTTGTGCAGCGGCCGGCCACTTGGAGCCACTGGAGTCACCACAAATTGTTGCACAAGTCCCTGGACCTGGACCTGGACGTGGACTGTAGCGACCAAGTGGTGGACACACACACACAGAACCCCACAGTTGGCCTGTTTACTTTGTCTTAATGGCCATTTGCCTGTGCTGCTGTTCGAGCGGCAATTTAAATATTTAAGCCATTTCGTTGTCCACTCCAAAGGGGAAAATATCTTCACAAATTTCTACGGCTCGCTCAGTGGTGCGGGTTAACATACTTTCCGAGATATAATAATGGCCATAAAAAGCGGCCAAGACTTGTACAAGATTTGAGGATATTTCAGCATCTTTTAATGGGTAGCAAATGCTGAGAGAATATCGAATAGAATTCTCAGTTTGTTTCCTTCAAGTTGCCTTGGTGCCTGAGGATTTCTTCACCTTGATTTTGGTGCCAGCCACCGAGGACTTCTTGCGGCCATTCAGTTTGGTTTTGTTCGTGCTCATGGCCACGGGCTTGGGCTTCACGACCCGAGCCTCCACGCGGATGTACAAGTCGTAGTTGAAGTCGCCACAGGACTTGCCTGGAAGCAGCGAAAAGTAATAAATGTACAAAAATAAAGCTCAGCTGTTTACCGCAACACATTTCCTCGCCGCAGGACTCGCAGGTCATCAGTCTGGTCTCCACAATGCCCGACTTGTTCTTGATCTTCTTCACGCAGCTGTTCAGCGCAAACTCGCGACGATCCCTGGCCTCGGTCTTCAGCTCCAGCTTGCCCATCTCCACCATGCGACTGAAGTACTCCTCCTCCTGCTTGTTCTTGGGCCGCAGCGTCGTGAGCATCTTCCAATCGATGGGCACCGCGCAGAGCTCCATGAGCACCACATCCTTCATTTCGGTGGGCACGGGATCCGCATAGACGTAGAGCGGCTCCCGCTCGCCATTCGATTTGAGCAACTTGCGCATCTCCTTCTTGGGCATCTTGAAGGCATAGTCCTTGTCCCGGATCTTGATCTCCTCGGCGCGCACCTTCACGGGCCGCATCTTGTAGTCGGGCACCTTCTCGAACAGCCGCTTGAACTCCTCATTGGTTTGAATGTTGCTGCGACTCAGGTCCAGCACGGGCACAACCGTCTTTTTCTTGGCCAGCAAATCATCGAGTTTGCTCATTTTGAAACAATCATTTCCTGCGAATTTAACAAGAAAATTCCCAAAGCAAATATCGACCAAACACTTGATTGAGTCTGTTGCCAGGGTAACCCGAAAGCGTTTTGTCCATTTTTTGATACATTTTCTCTCTCTCTCTTTCAGATCCACAAATAACCGAACCACGTGTAACACGGTGCAAATTGATGATAACAGCCCGTGCAAACATTGTACAAGGCAACAAAAATTCAAAGACCTCGCGGCACGCAGCTCCAACGAGAAGCTCAACAGTTGGCCAGAAGCAAAAGCCACAGAAACACTTTGTTGGCGCTTTGCTGGCTCATTTCATTTACCTGATTTGTGGCGGCATTACGTGTTTTCGATTTGGGCTCTGGTTCGGTCTTGTCTGGTCTCTGGCCGCCAAAAAGAAAGTCACGACACGACAGTTCCCCCGGCTGTCTGAGCCAGCCAGAAACGAGATTTCCAAGATTCTCTGCAACGAAAGTCAAAGTTACTCCAAGTTTACTCCAAATTCGGGTTTGCGTTTGAGTTTTGGGTTGGAGTTGGAGTTGGAGTTGGCCCCCCCGGTTCAACGTCTTTTCAGCGCTGTGTGCCACATTTTGGAAAGTGAAAATCGAGTGCAACGCGTGTCCAAAATCTGAAGCTGATTCCACAGCGGACGCTGCAGTTGAAAGTGAATTCGAGTTGCAAGTGATTTTCGGGTGCCTTTTGTTTTGCTGCTCCGGTTTGATTCATCAGCAGCCCAGTTATTTAGCTACTTGGAGCCACCAACCACTTCACGTCGCATTCATTGATCGATAGCAACCGGCAAACCGGAGAACCAGCAACCACAATGGAGGCCGAAGAAGTTACAAAACTTGTCGATGGCGTTTATCGGGTGAGTGCAGGAAATTAGATGGGTGCTAAGCTACTCTGTAATAGAAAGATGGATCAATTTCATATTAGAGATATTTCCATTACTCAAACTTCCTCCAAAGATCAGGCAGCAGCTGGAAGTAAATGCAGGGCTTCACTTTTTTTTCCAAGGGTGCAAAAAGCAGGCCTCGATCATACTGTCCCCCCATCCACACTAAACCAGACATAGACAGACTGTAGGAACATATTTTCGGATATGCCAGAGGAGAATGCAGCTGCTGAGATGTTGCAGCAGCAGCAAATCCCATGTGGCATGAGCAAGGACAGGACGGTGAAGTCCAAGCGCAGGCTGCCGCCGGGCACACGTCCACCGACGCCCAGCGAGAAGCGTGCCGAGTCCGGCAAGGCTACGTTCTTCCATGTGCAGGGTCAGTCGTGGGAGTCGAAGGGCTTTGCCGAGCTCACTGCCATTGAGCTGGAGCGAATGCGGTCGGGGCGTCCGAAGAGCGCCGACGAGAAGCGGGCCGAGCAGGCCATGAAGCAGGAAGAACAGCGCCAACAGACGGAAGAGACCGAACGGATGCGCAACTATTTCCGTGGCATTGACGAGCGGCGGCGGGAGAAGGAGCTCCAGCGCCAGCAGGATATGGAGGCGGCCGACGTCGACGAGGAGCAGCGAGCGGAGGCGAACCGCCTCAAGGTGTTGCAGCATTCGCTGAATGTCAGATACGAAATGGATGAGCGCGTGCGGCAGGCCACCAAGGACATTTCGGAGGCCAAGTGCAGCGCCATTTGGACCGCACAGATGCATGAGCGTCGATTGCTTGACCGCGCCCAGGCAGAATGGGACGCCCTTCAGGCGCGCAAGAATCTCGAGTACAACAACAGTAAGTGGGGCACCGAGAGGCAGAAGGATGCGAACGATGAGATCAAGCGCCGCCAGTTTGGTGCGGATGTCCGTCAGCAGATCCTCAATCGCGAAAAGATGCGGTACGTCGCCCAGGAGCGGCAGCAGCAGGAGGCACACGAGCTGCGAGTCGCTGTCGATGGATTCAAGAAAGCGGAGGCCCACCACGTCCAGGCCGTCTCCCAGGGGAAGCAAAGCTATCGCCAGGAGCTGGACAAGTACTCAAAGATGCGTCGCGAGTTTGTGCGCATGATGTGCCAGCAGGATCAGAGTGACGAGCGGCGCGCCTACGACTATCTGCTGCAGAAGGAGGCCAAACTGCGACAGGAGCAAGCCGAGAGGAAGGCCCAGCAGGCCGAGGTGAAGCGCCAGCGTGACGCTCTGTTTGTCATACAGGAGAAGATGATGAATGCCAAAGACAACCAGGACGAGCTGCGCTTCATAGCCGAGCACGAGCGCCTGGAGCGCAAGTATCGCGAAGCTGAGCGCCAGGCCGCCGAAAAGGAGCGCCGCATCGCCGACGAACTCCGCAAGGGACATCTCGAGCAGCTCGATCGCCTCAGCCAGATGAAGGCCTGCTACTACACGCAACGGGAGCGCGACAATAGGGTCATGATGCAGTTGCGCGCCGAGGAGGCGGAGCAGCGTACAGTTGAGGCCGCCGCGGACAAGGTGAAGCGAGAGACTCTCCGCTTGGGTGTCGCCTGCCAGATGGAGGAGCGCGCAAGGGCGCGTCGCCGTGAACTGGCCGCCGAACGTACGGAGTTTGAAAGGGCACGCGCCGCGGAGGTGCAACGCCAGACAGAGATCGATACGGTGATTGCCGTGAAGCTGGATGCTTTGACCAAGCGCGGATGTCTGCCGATGCGAGAACTCAATGCGTTGAAGGGTCGTGTGGCGACTGCGGCACACAAGAACCTGGGGCAGATGATGACTTGAGCTTCTGCTACAGCCACAGTGCCACACTACACTCACACATCCACAATTATAAAGATGAAAAATGGCACTAAACAGTTGTGACGCGTAAGAAGCGTCTCACACGTCCCTTCTTGTTTTATTAATGTTCGAAGGTTAGACTAAAAATTGTCTTATATAATTCCCGCTGGCAGGCAGGCTAAGCGATCTAACGGTTAGCTGTTGCATGAAGGCCATTTCTATTAGACATTTGCCACCAATGCACCGTTATGCTCGTAACGATGTTTACCCTTTTTGGAAAGCCATTTAAGCCGATAAACGTTTTCTTTGTATACTAATTTAATCGCCACACGCGATCACCACGAAGCGAAAGCCACACACAAAAGTTAATCTACAAAAATGGCACACCATCAGGCACATACGATTATGTATATGTTTATGTATGAATATGTATATGTATATGTACATACATATATGTACGCTGCCCTGGTGCTGGAGGTTATGATTTATGGGACTTGGGATGTACTTGTACTCTCATGTGCTGGATTTGTACGACTGGTAACCCTCCCTGAGGTGTTGTTAAATGTGTTTGTTGGCATTTAAAAAGCTATTAAAAATATTGGGCCAAATGTGCAGGCAACATATTGAAATACTTTTGACTCTCGTCATTTCATTTTATGTCTTCAACATTTTTATTCTCCTCAAAAGGCTTCAACTTATGACAGGAATTGTGTATAGTTTCGTATAAATTGTAAACCTTTTCCTGTTTCCTGTTATTGCTGGACTCAAACCTGATCCTAAACTCAAAGTACCCTGCAGAAAAGATCATTTCAAATATGAGCAACAAAACCCGAAAATATCTTAAGTCTCAAAATGGCCAAAAGACATTTTGAAAGTGAATTTCTTGTGGGCCCTGTTGGCCGTTGGTCTGTTGGCTGCTGTGTAAGTTCACATCCAAATTTGGTCACGACACAAGGCGGCTGTGTTGTTTTTTGGCACACATTTCTGGCCATATGATACGTATCGGATCGCAGCTTAAAAACATTCGGAACCAATTCAACACGTTGCGAGCAAACAAGTTCAATTGGGGATTTGATTTGTTTGTTTGCGTGCGACCCACCAGGCCACCAGTTCAGCCCACTTGACGCCAGAGAGGGGAAGAAAATCAAGATACAGGCAGAGAAAACGAGAGGGGACTGCGCCTTGGGAGTTTGGCAAGTTTTTGGGCTGCTTTTTCTGCTGTGTGTTGCATCTGCCTGGGGCCACATTGTGGCAAAGGCATTGCACATTTTTTTCGCGCATCCATTTCATTATGTAACTTTGCAGTTTTTTCTTTGGAAAACTTGCTGCTGCTTTGCGGTCTTTGCTGTTTTGCCAGGCAGCTGGAAAATTGCGGAAATTTTGTTTTCGGGTTGCTTCCCTGCACGTCGCACGTTGCACGTCGCACGTTGCACGTTGCACATGGCTGCATTTACTCGACTGTTTGCCATTTGCATTTTCCCCGCTGCGCGCTGTTGATATTTGTTGTTAACGCTGTTATTGTTTATTTGTGTGACAGTCGCAGGCGAAGAAAATCGAATAAATATGTGGACTGTGGAGCCATTTAATTAGTGGGTTGCGCCACCCGACAAACGAAAGACTCAGGAAACGAACTTGCACCGCGACGCAAATCTGAATTACCGCGAGAGAGCATCAATCAACATTCAACTGAAGTGAAGTGACTTCCTCCCAGCATCCACATGATTATGACTTAATTCCAAGTGATTTATTCACAATTGTCTGCCGTCGGTCGGTCCATCCGTCCATCCGTCCATCGATCTATTATGACATTGTATTGCGTTGGGTTTTCATTTATAATATTATTATTTACTTAAGAGATTGTCGGGCATGGCATGTGTCTGAATTCACTTCTGGGTTCGGCCACTCGCAGTTTCTAAACGGGTTTTAATTAATGCGATAGCTGGTTCGGAGTTTTGATTTTCTATTCCATTCTAAGCTCATGTGCGGTCCGTTTTCTGGCCCTTCTAAAAAATTCATATACTCAACGGTTACTCCGCGATCTGCGGGTCTGCAAATGAGTCTGAGAAATGCGCAGATTTGTATACCAAAATTAATGGAATTTATATTTGATCTTTGTTTGAGTTGATTCTCTACACAGCAGAACGAGAGAATCCTTGGCCATAATGATTATAAATTGTAAATAAAAAAGATTTTATATAAACACTTTTTCATAATTTTACTGGCAAGATTTATTGTGGCTATTTCCCCACAAAGGTACGAGTATCTTTTACTGCTGCATGCCATTCCGCATTCATTGCCGTTTGTCAAGCCTCAGATGGACATTCATTTTCCTGAGTGAATATTGTTTTTTGAGTGGTGGCAAACCGCAGGCAAGTTGTGCCGACAAGCCAATGTTCAGAAACGCATTTCATTCAAACAGCTGCCATGCCATGCGGTGGCGATGAATGACTTCAAATTGTTTGTCATTCGCTTAGATTTATGGCACATTCTCCGGCACATAAACCGAAGCTGAAGCCAGGAGCAAGCTGCCGCCAGTGATCAGATCGGAGTGACGTTCAGGTGACCACACAAAAGGCCAAGCCAACCTGCGTCTCTGGAGGCGCTGAAGGAGGCGAAGCCCCGCAAGAGCAGGCACCCAGCACTCTGTGGGATGGAATGGGATGGGACGGAGGTGTCCGTAGTCTAGAGAGAGAGAGAGAGAGAGAGAGAGAGAGAAGCGGACAAGCAATGAAAATAAATTAAAATTGCAGCCACTGACGACGACGACAGCGACAGTGCCTAATGCCAGGGTATTTGGGTCTGGTCTGGGGACTGAGGACTGAGCACTGAGCATTGGAGCTGGGAGCAGGCACTGAGAGTGCGGACAGCCGGACAGTACCCATGATTGCCATGTCTGAGGCATTTCTAAGGCTGCTGCTGCTGCTGCTGCTGCCGCATTAGAGAGGCCGCCTCGTGGAACGATGTCACATCGCCTGGGTTGGCGCTGTCACCTGGCCAGCCCCTCTCCTGAGGAATGGGAATGTAAATGGCTAAGAGAGCCGGCACCGGCATGGGTATGACCATGGCAAATGGAACTGGGTTAACGTCCGACTCGGCCGAGAGAAGCCCTACCAATTGGACTTTGAATCGTTTTGCTTATACCCTAACCCGAATGCAGGATTTGACTGGTTTGGGTACATGAAAAAATAGAAAATTCACGATAAAAATTAATTTCTTTTGGATTCTAGATTCCATCTTCACTTATAAACATTTCTTCTTCCCAAACACCTCACTTCATTTATTCCCAAGGACAAATGCTCTTCGCCTTTGGCCCTGGCAGTAGTTTAACTTTATTGCAGCTTATCCCGAAGGCCTGGGAAAAAGTCACGCAACCGAGAATTACCTTGCGTTTAGCATTTTTCACGCACTTTGCGTTCATCATCTGTCTCGAGCAGCGAGGAGTTTGGCGCCCAGTGGGGGGCCTTAAGCTGGGAAGAGGCTAACCACAGCCACTCCTCTGCTGTGAGACACTACCACGGTGCCACTCCTCTCTCTCTCTGCCACTAGCTGTGTGGGCGTGACTGGTTGCGGCTTGACGCCTTCGTTGAAGTTTTGTCAACAGTTGGGTTTTGGTTTCGTTTTTGTTGTTGTTGTTAATGTTATTAAAGTTGTTGTTGGCATTTTCTTGCTCGTTGTTATTGCTGTTGGAATACCTGTTGCGTGTTGCTTTTTGCATTTGTTGTTTTCTAATTGGCATAATTGCGGCTTACGGTTGTTGCTCGTCAGCGTACCCTTTTCAAGGGGTACCACGACTTTGATTAAATGTTTGCCAATGTAGCTGGTACTCCATGGGTACTCCATTCCTTTGCTCACTTTGAATCGCCATCCTCCTTTTCTACCTTTTCATTTTGCTGTCTTTACTGTTATTTCGGAACTTATCCGTTTCTTTGCTGGCTTTGAATTTGAGAAGAGAGCACGAGAGAGTAACTTACACAAATGAGTGCCTTTTCGCTCTCTTCCTTCTGCCAAAACAACTACCTAAAACGCATTTATGAGCAAACAGCAACCTTCGTTGCTCTTACTCTCTGACTCTAATTTTTACTGTAACTTTACTCAGATATTGTGTTCCTTAATTCCATTGAACAAATACGATTACTTCTTAAGCCTACTGTAATTGCGTCAAACGAAAGCTGCACTCTCAGCATCAACATAGCTGTAAATACTCTCTACATAGAATAAGTAAAAGAAGAGAGAGTAACCATATTGAGAGAGGGATCAATTGGATAGAGCGAGGAAGAAGACACGCACACGCGTCGTGCATAAACTGTAACTGTAACTGTAAGTGTATTCAAAGTTTCGCTACCTGCTGAAAGTCTTCCTTTGCTGTCGTTGGCGCTGTTGTTTTGTGGCTGCATTCTCGCATGCCTCTGACTGAGGTGGGTGTGTCCGCTTGCTGGCGTCGCTGAATTATGGCCTAACCTGAATGTGGCTCTCCTTCGCTTTATACCGTACCCTTTCTACCCTTCCACTATTACGCCTCGTTGCCTGCCTAAACTTACAAAGAGATAGAGAGAGAGAGGGGGAGAGGGGGAGAGAGGGTGGGTTAGTAGCTCTGTTTTAATTAAAAAAATTACACATGTGGCCTGGCGATTTATGTTAAGCGACGATTAGAAACAAAGCCACCCCACTCTTGGTTTAGATTCAGACTTGGGTTAGTATCAGGCATGGGAAAGACTACCTCAATTAATTTTGGGTTAAGTGCGGCTGTTGTTGCTCGCTGAGCTGCAGATTTTGCGGGCGCGATTGTCGGTTGCGTCAGCAAGTCGCATTTCTAATTGCCCCGCTGAGTGGGGGAGTGGCAGGGATACGGCTATCTGGTTAATAGCCGAATCGAACGGCAAGGAATTTGTTACACAGTTGAAGCTCGAGCAATTACACCAAACAGATAAGATCCGAGAGGAAAAGGTACAATGTGATTCGAAGGGGGGAAGGGAGTTCTCTCTTATGAGGAATAAATCTGTGAAACTCTCAGATATTTCCATACTGAAGAGGTCTTCAAATACGAGCATTCTCCATAAATGAATTTATTCCATTTGGCAGCTTAACGTTTACTCAACAGTACTCTAAAGTATTTGTTTAACCTCAGCCGAGGAGTCACTTAGTGGTTTTCATTGCTATCAAGGGTAAAATCAATGCACAGATCCCACAGTCCGTTGTTTATTTTGATAGCTTCTGGTAGCCCAAACTTTGATTGCAGCAACCGCAAATGAGTGGCGAACAATTAACATTGATGAACACATAAATGCTGATCCCCCACAGAGGGTTAAGGCACGAGTCAGACGTATCTGCAGCTGTAACTATATTTTAAATGTAATTGCAGCTGAGGTCAATCGGCACGAGTGCACTTGAGAAGGGCACGCAACTCCATGCGGAGCCCCTGTATCTGTATCTGTATCTATCTCTTTTGAGTGTCAGATAAAGCCAGCTAGTAGATCATAAAAGCAAACACTCAAACTCGGGCAAGTTGAATCGTTAAACAGCAGCGACCTTGGGCGGGGACGAGTGTGTTTGAGTATTCAACTATCGCAACAACTGACTTTTTTTGAGACTCGCGTTCGAGTCATTCCCACGCCTTGGATGCCACATTTGCGGCCAATAAATTGTTGAGGCAAATAACTCGCTGGGCACAAGCGAATCGAACTGTTCCACAGAGAGAAAGAGAGAGAAAATCTATTGTTTGCACTTTATTTTTTGGACATTTTGTTGCTAATTGTTGACCAGAAGTCATTTGGGTAGTCGGTGAGTGAGTGCTGGTCGTTTGATCAGCTCAAGGCAGCCGGAAATGATTGAACACCAAAGAATTTCACAGCACAAGAACCCAACACACAGAACCATCAATTATGCTCTCCTCTAACGAGTGTTTAAAGATTTGACTCTTTGGAATGCTAAAGCCAAGCGTCTTTGTTCCGGACAGACAATGAAAACACTTTGTGGCCAAAGACAATTTCTGTTTTGTTTTCGTGACTGTTGGCTGTGGGCCTCTGCGTGCTAAGAGCTCGACATTGTCTCTTGTTTGGCCAAGCCCAGGACCAATATTGCTCTTTGTCGTTGGCTGTTTATGGGTGTCAGCACTCGCTCGACTCTACGATGATGTCAGAGGCAAGTCAAGCGGTCCACTCACGTCATTCCCGATGCACCTTTCAACTCTATTCCCTCTCTATCTCGCATTGTATGCAAATCTGTTCTCATCTGTAAAGTTGTTAATTAATTGTCGCTTAGCTTTACGTTCTTTTTCCCATTTTCCGAGTCGCTATCATGTGGTTTAGCACTGATGATCGGAGTGACTCATTGCCCAGTATAGATCCATGATTTCTGTTGCAAAATTCTACGTTCCATGGGTGTTCCCCTGGGCATTGGCATGATTAATTGCTGACAGTGTTTACGCCTTAGAAGCTGTAAGTTTCAATATTGAATTGTGATTTATGTGAAGCGTAGAATATTTTATCCTTGTGTTACAATAATTAATGCAGTTTAATTGAGTCAGTGCTTTGATAATACATCCCCAATCTAATCTACTCTGGCATCCACATCATTAAATCCTCCATGGAAGTTGCTTGACAAAAATCAACTGGAAAACCGGTACAGAATCTGGCCAGGAATCGCGTCTTACATCGACTATGAGATAAGCAAATGAGAGTTGAATACACACCGGGGAATCCAGTTCATAATTGGCACACAAATGGCCAACAAAACATGACTCTGCACTTGAGGAAAGGCATCGAAAAGTGGGAAATACTTTTAAGAAATTGAAATAAAAATAACTAGCACTATCCACTGAGAGGGATATTTTCGATACAAATTTCCCCAGTTGTAAATGCTTTTGGGGAATATACTTTGTTTGTTGGAATTTTAATTGGGCTTGGGTTACTGCAACCATTAGGGCAGAGCATCGCTTTCATTTACACACTCGCCGCCACTCGCGTGGATGATAGATTGCTAAATGTTCAATTAGCATTACGAGTGCGACTTTTGTTTTTATGTTTCTTGGTTTTGTTACACGGAACTAACGATGTCTCTGACCACAACACAACACAGCACAGCAGACAACACTGTCTCTAGTCAACTTACACAACAAACTTTTACTACCCGCGGCACAATGTGGCAGCAAGCGATTACCCAGCGATACATTGGTACAGCCTGGCCCAAGACACATAATGAAATTGAAATGTTGCCACAAATGGGAGGCTGCCTGCTGCTGGCTCATAGATTACATTTAATTATCCGTGCAAGCCAACAGCTAACGACTGCATCGATTCGATATTTCTGCTCTGTTATTTACAGAATATACTCGACAGATTCAATCCGGGTGCCNGGGGCCGGGCGGAGGTCCGGGCAGGGAGAGGCATCCCCAGGGGGTTGGAAGGGAGGTAAACCCCCCCCCCCATAATTGACCAAAAAAACCGGGGGGGGGGGGGGGGGGGTTTCTTTGACTTTGTCTATTGTCTGCAGTATACAGTTAACTAATTTGCAATGCATTCCGTGGCATTTCATGCAACAGGTGCCGCAACCGCCTCGCGTCTATTCAATGAAGCATTGGCCAAGATTGCAATGAACGCCCAGCAGAGCGGAACGGGAGATATTGGTAAGACTCAACACCAAACAACAGTCGAAATAAATTGATTCTGTTCTCTTTTGCCAATTAGGTTCAGCTTTGATGAGCGTTGTGAATGTGAACAAGGATATACAGGAGCAGCAGATGAATATTGTGAGTGGAAAAGAAAATCATTTGGGAAAGAAGTGCACCATTGATGGATGCCTCAAACTATTGCAGCTAAAAGCCTTCTACGTCGATCTATTGGTGCCATTGGAGACTAATCTGGAGAAGGACACCAAGGTGGTGCAGCACGAGCAGAAGAAGTTCATGCAGCAGCACAAGGTGCGCATGGACAGCTACCAGAAGGCCGTCACCACAATGAAGAAGCAGCGCAAGAAGAAGGCCACGCCCGAGAACACCGAAAAGGAGCTGCGGGTGAGTGGTTCGAGCGCTTCCTGGGAGATAATCAACTGAAATCCCCTCTTCCGCAGAGCCTGCAGGTGCTGGAGGATCAAAAGAAGAAGCTGGATGTGTTCTGCGATCAGAGCTATAAGAATGTAAGTTCTACGAATCGTATGCTGCTCCTCCTCTGACTCACGATTGTTCTGTTCACTCCCCACTTCCGTTCAGGCCATGACACAGGAGCGACGTCGCTATGGGTTCGTCTTGGAGCGCCAGTGCTCGATCGCCAAGCACTGGATGGCCTATCACACCACCGGGAAGACGGTAATTGACAATAATTTTGAAAATTGGCAAGAAATTGCCGCTTCTCGTGAGATCATTCCGCCAGCAGCGTACGAGAGCGGCTACAGCAGCAGCAGCAACCACAACAACAATGCGAACATGAGGCGACTGGTGAGTAGTGCCCTGCCCCAGCTTCGATTGGGCGCTAACAGCTTTGTTAACCAATCCCCTCCCGATGCAGGAGCGCATCAAAGACGGAGACGATGGGCAGGTACACAGCCAGCTGAAGAAATCGCGCAGCATCGACGCCCCCTATGGGGATATGCGCACCCTGCACGAGCGTGAGAATATCGGCGGAGTGGGGTCATCGCACTACGCACAGAACTCGCTGCCACGCGCCAAGTCGGACTTTAATCTGGCACTCGTTGGCACTGGCCTGGGATCGGGTAAGTGACTATAGGAGAAGGATGGTCTAGAGACTCTACTCTACTTTCCTTTGTTCCTGCTGCAGGCAACAATCACAAAATCATCGAGGAACAACTGGCGCCGCTGAGCGATGATCAGCGCGGGGATCAGCGTCCCTTGGTCAAGGCTCTGTACGCGTACATGCCCTCCGGGGAGAACCAGTTGTCGTTCGAGGAGGGCGATCGCATTGCATTGGTCGGCGGCAAGGCCAAGGGCTGGCAATTTGGCGAGAATCTGCGCACCCAGCACTTTGGCTGGTTCCCGGTGGCCTACACAAATGCAGTGGACACAGGGACCGGCTCCGAGGTGCTGCCAGCCACAGGACGTCGCTACGAGAATATGCACATGGGCTACGGTGGAGTTGGAGCTGGAGCTGGAGCTGGTTCTGCTGTTGCTCTGCGCAGCTACCATGACCAGAAGCAGCAGCAGCAGCAGCAGTACATTCCGGAGGCGCAGCTGGAGCTAATGGACAGCGATGCCACGTACAGAAGGAGACGCAACCACAGTGCCGAGGAGTCCTCGCCCACGCGCATGTTCGGCGACACGCTCAAGCAGCAAAAGAAATACCGAGCCGGATCTGCTGCGAATCCACGTCCGGGTCCACCGCCCACACTGCCGGCACCAGTGCCCACCGGGCAGCAGAGCCAGTCCTCGAGGATGCTGAACAGTTCGCAGAGTTTCTGCGCCACCAATGGAGTGCCAGCCGCTGTCGAGAGACGCAAGCAGAAGCTGCTGAATGGCGCACAGGTACGAGTGGGGGATGCACGTGATGCCAGCTTCCAGTTAATCTATCTTCCTTCCTCCTTCCTCCTTTCGCACAGAGCTCCATGAGCCATCCGTCGGGCAAGTCGGGCAAGTCGGGCGTCGCAGCAAAGACCTCGCTACACAGCAGCAATGACAGCGGCTTTGCCAATGAGCCGCCACCACAGCCGGAGGTGGACTACTCCGATGAGGAGACAGCCACGCAGCGTGTGCCCATTCGGTAAGTGGAAATATTCCCTCTCGCTCTCAGTCACTAATCCTTAATCCGTGGGCATCCCATAAGCTACTCGTACTTGCCTCAGTTCTAGCGCTAAACTTTGCTCGATTTAATGCTCCGTTTCGTTTGCTTTCTTTTCCACACTTCTTGTTTTGTTTTCCATGTATCGCCACTGTCCTTTGTTGTCATGCTCTTGTGTTAACCTCCCCACGCACACCCGCACGCCCACCCATCCGCACCATCGACCGTACCATTCTCGCCGCAAAAAGCCGTCGAGCCGATACCAACTCGCACACGAACACACACACGGTGCCCAGGGACGGCCTGGTGGCCTCGTGGACGCTGAATCGGAACTTCCGCAACAGCGTGGACAGCCAGATGGACGACAAGAGCATGCATCGGCTGAGCCGGCAGAATGGGATCGGAGCGGGCAAGATGCGCTACGATCTGATTGCCTCGGATGATGAGATACTGCAGGCATCCAGTGCGGGCCTCAAGCGCACCAAGTCCTTCTGGAAGTTTGGAGGTGGACGCAGCGGCGAGGATATTCTGGCTGGAATGTCGCTGTGGCAGCACCGGGATCTGGTGGCAGCACCCAATCTCGAGGAGATGCGGGATCGCGATGAGCTGGAGCGACGCTCGGACGAGGAGCGCAACATCAATGTTGACAGAAATGGAAATGGAAATGGCAATGGAACGCTGACCAAATCGCACAACTCCAGCTCCTCGCAGGAGAAGCGTGGACGCAAGGACAGCCTCACCAGCACGGAGCCATACGGGGAGGAGGATGAGAACATTTATGGCGTGAGTCAGCCTCCCCCTCCGCAACAGCAGCAACAGCAGCAGCAGCAGAGGAGCAGCTACACCCCCAAGTCACGCATGAAGATCATGAAGACCATCGAGATTGACATCGAGGAGCCCACGGAGGGTGAGCGGCTGAGCACCATGCGCCGCGGACAATCCCAGTCGCAGTCCCAGCAGCAGGCACAACCACATCGTAAGTTGGACAAGCAGGGCTCCGGCGGCTCCTCCTCCACGCCACAGCACAAGACGCAGACTCTGAGTCGATCCAAGCCCTCGCAGCAGCAGCAGCAGCAGCAGCAGTTTCCCCTCTCCACCGACGAGGGCGAGAGCGATGAGCATGGAACGCTGAAGCTGAGCGACGTGAACAACTTCTTCGACGACATGCAGCATGACGGAGGTGCCAGCAAGGCTGGACACGGACACGGACATGGACATGGACATGGAATGGTCATGAAAACGGTGAAGCGACAGGACATACTCAAGCAGTACTACACCAGCGAGGACGATGAGTCGGACGCCGAGCTCAAGTCGACCAGCTCTGACCCCTACGACTGCATCGTCATCAACGACCATTTGGTGCGCAAGGATGACAAGCTGCGCCGGCAGCATCATCAGCAGCAGCAGCAGCAGATGGAGTTCCACACCTTCCGCTCCTCTACGTCCACCACAGCGACCAACACGCTGAAGAAGTCCTCCTCCAAGGAACAGGACAGCACCCTGACCCGCAATTCCACAGCAAATGCAAGTGCACCCACGGCCACCATTCTGCCGCGGACACGACTCCTCAAGTCGTCCGCCAACAGCCACAACCAGAGCCACAGCCAGAGCAACAATCACAGCAGTGCCACGCTGGAGAGAAACTCAAAGACGCTGACAGGCAACAAGAGCTACGGGCCGTGGTATGACTTCTGGGATCAGGAGCAGCACGGCATCACCGGTCAAAAGTCGGCAAGTGCCAAGCTAAAGTGAGGATCGGGAACGAGACCAGAGCCAAGCTGGGAGAATGAAGTTTCGCCGTTTTCTTACCGGTTAAGAAAATGCGCAGAGAGAGAGAGCGTGAAAGGAATGCCCCCAGGCAGACTCGTGCAGATTCTTAGATTTATTTGAATGCCACACGCCAGAGACCTTTCCACTGGCAGGGCGCAACTTTTTGTTTGTTTTATTATGTAAATATTTAATCATACCTATTTTAATTGTAAACTGTAACTAAGGAAACACCCTGTTCGCTTTCTGTGCAGCAGCAAAAACCCAAGCCTAGAGTGTTGGGGCTTCATTCTCGGTCACAGCCACAGCCACAGCCACAGCCACATATTCGTACTCGTACCCATTGAATTTTGTTTTCGTTTAGAGTCTAAGCCCAAGCATGCATCATGTTTCACTCTGTTAGTCGGTGCCCCCTCCGCTTTAGGCTAATTCAAAAGTAATGCGAATGTCATTTGCCTTTCTAGCAGGCGCGGTGTGTACCGCAACTTTTCAATAGATTACTGAAAGTCCAGCTAGCCCCAGCCCCCAGCCCCAGCCCCGAACCCCACACGTATTAAGCGCTTGCAAGTCTCCTTCCCGCACCAGCCGTAAGTAGAGACGCGTTTGAAGGGTGCACAGTCTGTACTGGACAAGTGTGCCTTACTCTCTTGCAGTGCCTCACAGTTTGCCACCGTCAAGCTGCGACACACGAAGACCAACGACCGCTCGGCACCCATGATATATCGGAATGTGAACAAGTAGCAACGACAGCGGAAGGTGGAGTTCCTGTTGTGACCAACCAGCCAGTTGCCACCTGAGAACACACCGAGCCACACACAAAAGCGAATCAATCTACAATGAGCATGCCACATAATAAACATAATACAATTTATTTGTACTTAAATTAGAGTTCAGTTCTTCTCTGCAGCTGCTGCTGGGCCTGAAGTTTGGTTAGTCATTAAGTTGTACTCTTTGTTAACATAATTGTTTGTACGTATTTACTTGTATGTTAAAGTTCGAAAATGTTTATTCACTTATTACGCTGAATAAACAAGATACAGTTAACGCAATGCCCACCCCAGTCACGGTGCTCATTAATAGCCAAAGAGGTGTATGTAGCGCTCAATGTTCGGGTCCTGCAGGGTCTGCAACAGAAGGGCATTAACGTTAGTTTTATATGAAAGTCATTTATGTACTAACCCCCCGGACTTGTTCTTGCGGCACAGCCAGGAATAGGGTCTTTGGGTCGCGGAGGTCTCGAGTCTGCTGCAGCACTGCGAATGTCTTGTAAATGAAATCGTTAGACATCACATTCTCCAAGTGGAGGTAAGTTAGATTCGGGCATGCCTGAATCACGGCCAACACTGGTGACGATAGTGTGCCCTGTTCGAACTGTTCATTAAACCGGAGACGTACAAGGTTTCTCAGCTCCGTCAAGTGGTATATGTAGCTGGGCTTGGCGAAATATAGTTGCAGATCCTGCAAACTGTGTATTCGGGCAATCTCTTTGACTTCGTCGGGCTCGAGGTGTCTGACGCCCAATACCAGATTGATCAGATTCCCTGAATGTGCAGCGGCCAGTGCAGAAAGCAACGGCAACAGAGGTCCCATGGGGACATGATTCCAAAATAACGACAGCGTGTGCAGCTCAGGGATCTGAGTAATGGGCAGGTACTCCCTCGCCGGACGATCCAAGGTCAGGTCCACCTCTCTCACGTGTGTCAAGTGCGGCACCATATCAGCCAGAGCTTTCTCGATAGAACCATTACCGAACGGCAGTACTCCAATTCTGAATGTGTCTTCTTGTAGACCATTCTCCTCGACGTCTACCACAAATGAAGAATGCAAATCCACGCTGTCTGCATATTTATCCACCGATGAAAGTGTTTTATCTGCAACTAAAATGGATTTCAATGGCTTTCAAGCGGATATCTTTTATCTTTAATCTTACCGCCGCGGATTAGGCCAACGCTTTCTATTTTGTGCAACTTTTCTATGCATTTAATAATACAATTAATGTCGCAGCACGACGGGCCAATTTCACATTTCAACGTAATGCGCTCCAGGTTGGCCAGGGCGCCTAAAGTTTTGGGGAGAACTCCTCTGGGAGTTGGTTCTTCTTCAAGGGACAAAAACAAAATTCGAACATGTTCACCCGCTTTCCGCAGAAGCCGCAATTCCTGATCTGAGTCTGTAAGCTCCAGCCGCTTGTACAGGCCCGCTGCATAATCGTTTTGGACGTTCCTGAACCGGCTGCATACTTGACCAAAGTGCATATGATCCCTTGCTGGGAGGCGTTTTAAAATTCCAGCGATGCAGTCGTCATTTAGATCTACAAAAGAAGTAGTCTCCATTTTTTGGCAAGAAAATGTAAACAAACTCAGATGCTCATTCTCTACACGGGAACATTTGCGTCACATGAACTACACATTTATGTAATTAGCAACAGAGACACCTGACGAGGAATTGTCTAAGTTGTTTTTATCGGTATATTTTGAAAATGAGTGGGTATATTTCGGTATACTTTTGAGGGTCAGATGGTATAGTTTATCGATAAAACAACGGTCACACTGCGCCATATATCACAAAATGTTAACCTTATTGGAAAAACGAAACCAAAAACAATAATTAGCCATCAAAAACCTACATAAAACAATCTACAGTCATGGCAGATACCTCTGCATGTCAATTGCAGTGCGAGTACAAGGCGGTAAGTTCCAAAGCGACCACTTGCCAAATTTGCATCCCTCCATGCGGTCTGCTCCTTTGTTTTGATGATCATTTGGCCAATTTAATCTATTTTGTGTGTGTTTTAGATCCCAAATCTTGTGTAACAAGCAAATGCAAGACACATCGAACGCCCACGTCGCCACTGGCGAGCTCTACTCCATGGTAGGAAAGTTGTTTCGAAAGAATATCGGTGACCCTCGCACCAAGCTGGAAAATACTGAAGAGCAGTAGCATGATGTGTGTGATTCGTGCGGTCTATGTGGATCAGCCCAGGGATGTCCCCTGCGGTGGAGCTCGGAGCTTTTTTATAGTTCTCATGAACCACCTGGGCATGAGATCACAGACTTTGGCAGCGGTGCCATAAACGCACTGAGAGCAACAACTAACTATTATGTACCAGATTTGGATGAACACGCGCCCATTGATTCAGAGAATGTGAGTATATCAGCGGTAAGCATCGATATAAGTAATTGATGGTCTATCTTGTGCTTGTGTTTTCTTCCTTCAGTATTGGCCAATAAAGAGGCTGCCAGCAATGTGCAGAGAGATTGGGTTTCTACATCCCCTGTACATCGATTTCTATTAGCTGCCAAGTTGCCAGAGCAAGATCTACAGGAGTAGATCTGTCGCCAGACAGACAATGAACTCCGGCGGCGGCACCGCACTCGCAAATATCAGCTGCCAGTATTGCAAGCTCGCGACTGAGCGATTCGAAGAAGACATTGAGCCGGGCCCCTCATCTGACACAAGCCTCTCTCAAGCGATGCAGTGAGACGGTAAAGTTTATGCTGACTGTGCCAGCAGCCAGCTCTCTAAACATTTTCTCGTTTTGTGTTTTACAGAAAATCGAAATCTCATTCGTCGTCATGGAGCCGAAGGATGAGGATCTTACAGCTCTCCAATACACAAATGAGCGATGTGGTATCGGTGTCGTACCCCAACATTGAGCTCAACTATGTGGTTGTCAGGCTGGAGAATGAATGCCCCGTCGCTGCATCCATCGTCCCGCTGAAGATCACGGAAGGCTGGCCAACGAGCTGACCATACATTGTAGTGCAGCAGCGACTCCAACTTGGGCTGCGATCAGGACTAAAAATTATGAATCTGAGATTGGGAACGAGTCGAATTAAGGAGCAGGATAAGATTAGCATGCATAATGTACAGAAACAGCCAATTATGCAAAAATGTATAGAAATTTTGGTTACAAATAAAGGTGTGGCATACTTTCAGACGGCTCAAAACATTATTAAATAATATATGAAGTATCTTTTGGGGGCGGCGTTAATTAGAAAAGATGTTGCATACTTTCGGGGCGAATTTATCCATAATTAAAAATGACATAACAGCCATATCCTTCAGTGCTTGAGGTCCTTGATGGATTCAAATGAAAAAGGATACTCTCCCGCTCCCGAGGACTCGTGGCAAGTCCTGATTTGAAAGGACACAGCCGAGTTATAGCGATGTAAAAATTATATATTAAAACAACCGTAAAATGCCATTATCCTAAAGGTCCTTGCATCCGAAAGGATTAAATACGATCCGGGGCATTGTCCCAATCACGAGGAGGTGTAGGATGTCCTGATCCGACAGGATACAGCCAAGTTATAGCGTTGTAGGGATTCAACAAAAAACATCCTTAAAATGGCATTATCCTTAAGGTCCTTGCATCCGAAAGGATTGCAAGCGATCGGGGACATTGTCCCGATTCCGAGGAGGTGCGGCATATCCTGATCTTCCTTCAAATAAAGGATAAAACAATAAAAGAAATCTGTCTTGTTGTTGTTGTCGATTTATGTTGTTGTTGTTGTACAACAACCACGTCGTTTGCATGGTGGCGCCCCCACGATCACTCACAATTGGGGCGCCACTTTGCTAAAAAAAACTGTTGAAAATGCTTCACTCAAATGTACATTTTCAGACCGAGTACCAGGCCAACAGAAATCAGCAGAAAGTAGCTGGTTTTTATTTTTTTTCACTGTGGCAAAAGTTGGCTGCTATAAAACCGTAATTAAATTTAAAAAAAAAAAGAGCAACCGTCTTTTTGCACAGTGGCGCCCCAATTGTGATCGGTCACTTTACGAACTCCGTTATTTTAGTTCCAGAAGTGGCCAACGTGATCGTGGGGGCGCCACCATGCAAACGACGTGGTTGTTGTACAACAACAACAACATAAATCGACAACAACAACAAGACAGATTTCTTTTATTGTTTTATCCTTTATTTGAATTGAATTATTGATAATTTGTAGTCCTGATCGCAGCCCAAGTTGGAGTCGCTGCTGCACTACAATGTATGGTCAGCTCGTTGGCTAGCCTTCCGTGATCTTCAGCGGGACGATGGATGCAGTGACGGGGCATTCATTCTCCAGCCTGACAACCACATAGTTGAGCTCAATGTTGGGGTACGACACCGATACCACATCGCTCATTTGTGTATTGGAGAGCTGTAAGATCCTCATCCTTCGGCTCCATGACGACGAATGAGATTTCGATTTTCTGTAAAACACAAAACGGGAAAATGTTTAGAGAGCTGGCTGCTGGCAGAGTCAGCATAAACTTTACCGTCTCACTGCATCGCTTGACGTCGACACTAAATTGCTGAAAATGTCGCAAATACGAGTAGTTGCTCATGTCCTGGGTAACCATCTGGGCCAGTTGCATGGCAGCCACGGTCGGCGAAGGGCATCCATTCGAGCACTACACATCCAGAGAGGTTTGTGTCAGATGAGGGGCCCGGCTCAATGTCTTCTTCGAATCGCTCAGTCGCGAGCTTGCAATACTGGCAGCTGATATTTGCGAGTGCCGTGCCGCCGCCGGAGTTCATTGTCTGTCTGGCGATATAGCTTCCGCTGCTTGATGGAGTCAAAGTCAATCTTCAGTACATCGGCAGACTTGCTCTGCGAAACCATGGTACTCCTGTAGATCTTGCTCTGGCAACTTGGCAGCTAATAGACATCGATGTACAGGGGATGTAGAACCCAATCTTTATGCACATTGCTGGCAGCCTCTTTATTGGCCAACAAAACACAAAGCACAAGATAGACCATCAATTACTTATATCGATGCTTACCGCTGATATACTCACATTCTCTGAATCAATGGGCGCGTGTTCATCCAAATCTGGTACATAATAGTTAGTTGTTGCTCTCAGTGCGTTTATGGCACCGCTGCCAAAGTCTGTGATCTCATGCCCAGGTGGTTCATGAGAACTATAAAAAAGCTCCGAGCTCCACCGCAGGGGACATCCCTGGGCTGATCCACATAGACCGCACGAATCACACACATCATGCTACTGCTCTTCAGTATTTTCCAGCTTGGTGCGAGGGTCACCGATATTCTTTCAATACAACTTTCCTACCATGGAGTAGAGCTCGCCAGTGGCGATGTGTCTTGCATTTGCTTGTTGCACAAGATTTGGGATCTAAAACACACACAAAATAGATTAAATTGGCCAAATGATCATCAAAACAAAGGAGCAGACCGCATGGAGGGATGCAAATTTGGCAAGTGGTCGCTTTGGAACTTACCGCCTTGTACTCGCACTGCAATTGACATGCAGAGGTATCTGCCATGACTGTAGATTGTTTTATGTAGGTTTTTGATGGCTAATTATTGTTTTTGTTTTGGTTTTTCCAATAAGGTTAACATTTTGTGATATATGGCGCAGTGTGACCGTTGTTTTATCGATAAACTATACCATCTGACCCTCAAAAGTATACCGAAATATACCCACTCATTTTCAAAATATACCGATGAAAAGTAAATTCCTCGATTTTACTATTTCTTTTAATATTACCAGCCTGCTTAGACTCTCACCACTCAGAATATATTTTTTTAAGATAGAAGAATCAATTTTGTAAAACATTAATACATTTTAAGGATCTGCTTTTGTTATTTTAATCGTTTTTTCAATAAATTTGTGAAATATGCCGCAATATTTGTTGTTTCGACAACCAGTGCTCTAAAACTAATAAGGTAACCATCGATAAGAAACAAACATATCGAGTATATAATTGATGTCCGACAAAACCTCGCTGCCATGCATCGCAGTTCGTGTATCGCATCGATAGTTTTTGAAAAGGTTCAACAGCTGATGCTATATTTTCGGTTTCTATAGAATTTTTATAAAAAAAAAAACGAATACGATTTGACCACAATTGGGAAAACTCACAATTGGAATTGACAATTCACAATTCAATTAACCGTCAAAATTAATACTTCACAATGGGAACTTGCATTGTTCTTTTCATTCGTTAGTCGTTGTTGTTGTTGTGGAAAAGAACAAAACAAAAACAACTCAACTAATTTCGTGGACGTGGAGGCTCACCTTGTTTGTTATGCTAATTAGAAGATTCGACTCCATTTAGTTAGTGCTTGTAGATAAGAATTTTACGTTTTAGTTTTGTAGTCCAGAACTGTCATAAATGTAACAAAATTACGAGTACTAAAGAAACAAAGAACATAAGTTTGTTACGAATATTTACCATTCAATAAGGTAAGTGCTGAGTGCGTTTACAATGAGCACCGTGGGGACCTCCGCTGGGCATTCGTCGCCGGAAGTTCCTCGAGTGCTCTGTGAGGCTTTTATCTCAACTTTCCTACAATTTGGTAAAAATGTCTTCGCAAACAGCGACAGCAACTGCCGCTGCCACTGCCACGGCAACAGCAACAACAGCGCCCGCTTATCGGCGACCGTGTTCAATGTGTACTTGCTCGGAGCCCTCGCCAAAAGATATACTCATTTATACATACATACCATACGTTCTTCTTGTACATGACGATGTGTCTGTTTCCAGTTTGTCTTTGCAGTAAGTCGTTGTCGGGCTCGTTGCCTACGTTTCACTTTATTCTCCAGCCAACACCTGAGCTAACACACGCCAATAATAACTGCCGTACCGTGCCGCGCACAACTCCTACGTAGCGTGGCTGCATATGTCGTTGAAGCCACCACCCTGACACGTATCCGGCGCATGCAGTGACAGGGAGAGGGAGATCCCAGGATCAAGAATGCGGAGGCCCAACTTCAAGTGGATGGTCAAGTCCATCCTGCTGCTGCTGATATCGCTGACTCTGTTGGTGCTCATCACCAGCTGGATATCGTCGAGCCCCTACACGAACCGGCCCGTTCATCACAGCGTCGAGCCGCAGCCCGAGAAGGCAGAGCTCATGCGCCCAAAGGCCGCCGCTGTGAACGAAAATGTAGTGGAACGCATCCAGCCAATTCATGTCGATGCGCGCAAGCCAGACCCGGAATCCGCGAACGAAGCGGATCCAGAATATCCTGACGAACACCCCAAGCGGTTCCGGCCGAAGCACGACGAGGTTGCCCAGCAGCCTGAGCAAGAGTTGCACCAGAAGAGAACCAACGAAGAGCAGGCCGTAAAGGATTGGCATGACTACGCGGCAATGGATAAAGACGCTGTGCGCGTGGGTATCGGGGAAGGTGGCAAGGCGGCGAAGTTGGAGGATGAGGCGACGAAAGAGCAGGAGCGTACAATTTCCCTGGAGAACGGCTTCAATGGTCTGCTCTCCGACTCGATATCTGTGAATCGCTCACTGCCCGACATTCGCCACAAACTGTAAGTGAAACAGCAGCAAGAGCAGTAAAGCGATCAGTTACCATCATTCTTTATCCACGCAGCTGCCGCCAGAAGGATTACCTGGCCAAGCTGCCCACTGTCAGCGTCGTCATCATTTTCTACAACGAGTATCTGAGCGTGCTGATGCGCTCCGTGCACAGTCTAATCAATAGATCGCCCCAGGAGCTGCTCAAGGAGATCATTTTGGTGGACGACTACAGTGACCGGGAATATCTGGAGGAAGAGCTGGAGCGCTACATAAAGGAGCACTTCAGCCAGATGGTGCGTGTGGTGCGACTGCCCAAGCGCACGGGTCTGATTGGAGCTCGTTCGGCTGGTGCAAGGAATGCCACCGCGGAAGTGCTCATCTTCCTCGACTCGCATGTGGAGGCCAACTACAATTGGCTGCCACCGCTGTTGGAGCCAATTGCCAAGAACAAGCGCACGGCGGTCTGTCCCTTCATTGACGTCATTGACCACGCCACCTTCAACTATCGGGCTCAGGATGAGGGTGCACGCGGTGCCTTCGACTGGGAGTTCTACTACAAGCGACTGCCCCTGCTCGAAGAGGATCTAAAGTATCCTGCCGATCCCTTCAAGAGTCCCATCATGGCCGGCGGGCTCTTTGCCATATCCAGGGAGTTCTTCTGGGAGCTGGGTGGCTACGACGAGGGCTTGGACATCTGGGGCGGTGAGCAGTACGAACTGAGCTTCAAGATCTGGATGTGTGGCGGCGAAATGTACGACGCGCCCTGCTCCCGTATTGGCCACATCTATCGCGGCCCTCGCAATAACGTGCCGAGTGCCCGAAAGGGCGACTACCTGCATAGAGTAAGTAAAATCAGTTTCTAGAGGGATCATTGAGTCTCTCATTCTGCTCTTACCTTGCAGAACTACAAGCGTGTGGCCGAGGTCTGGATGGATGAGTACAAGCGCTATCTGTACGAGCATGCAGACGGCGTCTACGAACACATCGATGCCGGAGATCTCACGGCACAGAAGGCGATACGTAAGAAGTTAAAGTGCAAATCCTTCAAGTGGTTCATGGAGGAGGTGGCCTTTGACTTGATCCACAGCTATCCGCCCATTGATCCGCCCACATACGCGCTCGGCGCCATACAGAATGTCGGCGATAAGCGCCTGTGCGTAGACACAATGGGACGCCGAAAACACAACCGGATGGGCATGTACGCCTGTGCCGATGACCTCAAAGTGCCACAAAAGTCACAGTTCTGGGAGCTCAGCTGGAAGCGGGACTTGCGGCTGCGCCGCAAGAAGGAGTGCCTCGATGTTCAGATTTGGACTGAGAATGCGCCCGTCTGGCTGTGGGACTGCCATTTGCAGGGAGGCAATCAATACTGGTACTACGACTATCACACGCAGACCATCAGGCACGGTCTCGAGGGCAAGCGTTGCCTCGAGCTGCTGCCCTTCGCCCAGGAGCTGGTGGTGAACGCGTGCAACGACAGTAATCCGTATATGAAGTGGAACTTTGGCTCCTTCAACAAGAGTGCGCTCGACCACTACGACAAGGATCTCGTGCTAGAGCTGAACTGAGTCGATGTACTCCACCGATTCCCACTTGCCATGTACTTAACACTGCGATGTAAATATTTAGGCTAATTACATATACATATACAGATACATTTACATATGTAGAATGTAAGATAATTGGCCCATTGGCACATTCCAATGTTGCATTCAGCGCGACAATGACTATCACTAGCAATGCATTTATGTACATCAAGTTATTTAAAGACCAGAGAAAAATGCACTCGAGCGTGTGTAACTTTGTTTTCGTTTTATTTAATATTAATATCTGTTTGCTTTCAATACGCGTACTTTAAATAAATATAATTTATGCTCCACTCACTCTCCACCGTAACTTTACTCACTGTATACCATATACTATTTATATACGTGTTCTCAGAGTCGCGTATTGTATTCTGTATCTCGTCGTCTGCTCTTACAATATGTATTTTCTTCATGTTCTCCTCCATATTCTCCCGTGACATTATGCGCTCGCCAGGTGCGCGCGCGTGCCTTATCTTTGTTCTGCTCTGTTTCTGTTTCTGTTTCTCTTTCTCTTCGTTTCTCTTCTCTTCTATTCTCTACTTTTCTGTTCGCTTAGTACCTATGCTTCAGTGTTAATTGTTTTTCTGCTTTATCATATGCCAATATTTATAGTATATATGGGTGTGTATATACTGCTGCTGCTGCTGCTGGGTGTATGTATAATGCAACTATTTTTGCTGCTGCTGCTACTGCTGCTTGTCCCGCAAAAACTCAAAAGCCTTTCGAGGATCATGTGTTAGTGTGGGTGTATGTGTGTGTGTAACTTAATAAATGGCAAAGGATTTGCTTTTATTTTAAAATGATAAGTAAAAGCATTTACAAACTATAATAGTTGTTGGCTCGCATAATCAGTTAATCAATTATCATAATTTACGTTAATATATATATATATATATATATATATATACTATATATATAAACATTTAAATATTTATCAAAACATGTTTTTTCTTGTTGCTCAAAAGTCTTCTTCGCTGCCTTACATTTACATTACTTATTATGTCGTAAAGACTTTACATTCTACATGCAAGTATTTACGATCTCTTCTCCTACGCTTCTATGTTCTCCTTCCCTTTCTTATCGTACTAGTTCGTCAAATTATAAAAGTACAGTACGTATTATTTTCAATAACCATTTTTTGTTTTGTTTTGTTTTGTTTTGTGCAGTGTGTGTGTGTGTGTGTGTGTGTGGGGGTCTCTCTACACTAATTTGATTTGAAATTCAGTTGCGCTGCCACTTGATCATCTTCATCTTCTGCTTCTCTCTTGCTTTTGTGTCTTTGTGTTTGTTTTGTTTACTTGGATGGATACAACAATTACTTGACAAATGATTAGGCAAATAATTAGTTAATTTATAGTAGTTGTTGTTGTTGTTTTTGTTGTTGTTGGTTGTTTAGTGCTTAATACTTGATTGGTTTCGAGTCTTTTTGGGTTTTCCTTTTTGCCTTTGAAATGAATTCTTTCCTTGCCTTGCCTTGCCTGCACTTTGCCATCCACACTTACAGCTCTCTTCTCCTCTCACTTGGGAAAAATCATAATCTAAACTACACTAAAACATTTCCCTTGGGCGCATACAAATAAATATGTTTGGGTGTGTTGTGTTGTGTTGGTGTTTGCTTAAGCTAAGTTTAAATTATGTTTAAAAAAATGTCTTGCTGCCTCACATTTTCTCACAATAAACCAAAACTGTGATCTGTCATCGCTGGCCCTGCTCTCCGCTCTCCGCTCTCCGCTCTCCTCTCTGAAGTAAACGATTGATTTATCAAGCAATCCAAATGGAAGCCTGCTCTGCTTGAACCCAAGGGGAACAGCCTCCCATTTGTCTTGTGGCAATTTGAATCCGTTTGGCACTGGGCAGCACCGAGCACCAAAGGGACAGACAAATTGAGTGGAACTTGTGTGGAACTCAACTGTAGATAGTATTCTTTTGTAGTCTAGTGTAGTGTATGTGTCGCGTCGACTTGGCTTTTGTTGTAGTAAAAACTGTTCTATGCATATTGTTTTTGGGTTTGCGAGTGGTGTGTGGTGTGGTGTGTGGTGTGTCGTGGCGAAATTCTTTACCTTTTTCTAGTTGCATTTAAAAAATTGTTTATTTGTACTTTTGGCAATGATCTTTTTGTGTTTTTTGTTTTGTTTAACTTTCCACTAACTCTGTTTAGTATTTTCCATCGTTTCTGCTCAAGCGTTTTGCTCTGTTTTATTAGTTTTTAGTGTGTTTGATTTACTCTTTTTCTTTTAGTGTTCGTTTTGTGGTTGCTTGTTCTGTAGTTTGTTTGCTTTTGTGGTGTGATTTCACTCCATTTCATTTCTGTTAAACATAGAAAAATAATAAAACTCACTGGGACAACTGGCTGCTTGCTACTCGCTACTCGTTACTCGCCGCTACAGCTCTCAGCTGCTCGCTGTTGTCGTTGACTTAGGAAACTAAAGTTGATAGATTTATTAAGCTAGCTGCATGTTTATTGTGGTTTCGCTTTTCCTTGCTGTGTGTGTGTGTGCTGTGTGGAATGGTGTGGACTGGCAGCGCCAACTCTTTGTCTTCTCTTGCTGCTGCTGCTGCTGCTTACTCCCTACTCTTTCTACTCGTTCTACTCTTTCCTTCTCGTATGGCACACGAAATCAGACGCATATACAAAAATAATTTACTGGGACTTTTGCTTTGAGAGAATTATTCAGTCATTGTGTGTGTGTGTGTGTATGAGGGGGTGTGGTGTGTGTGTGGGACTTAAGATAAGAGCAGCGTTGCTGGGGGCAGCAGTGGAACTGGAATTGGAGCTGCATCCGGGGAGTGCAGCTCCCGAGGATAATCATGTTGATTACCAGTAGAAGGATCTGCTCAGCCGCTGATAGGCAGACAGATTCAAGTCTGCTGCTGCTGCGGCGGCGGCTGCGGCTGCTGCTGCTGCCCCGCTCCTGGCGTGGGCGTTTGGCCACCCTGGCCATTCCCATTGCCATTGGCGCTGGCGTTGGCGTTGGAGCTGCCATTCGTGGACGATGTCGGACTGCTATTGCCCTCCTGATAGGGCCCCGTAACCACACAAGGATGCATAGGAAACAGGGTCGTCCACGACGTTGTCGTTAGTGTTGGTGCGTGGAGGGCAACTTTCTCGTTTTTTGGCTGCTGTTCGTTCGACTGTGACTTCTTGGAGCTCGCATCGCCGCTGCTCTTTTTCTTCTTGCTGCCGCTGGCTCCGTTCTTCAGCGGCTGTCCGTTCTCCTTCTTGATGGCGGATGGCGGCACGGGGGCCAGCTCATCGTGGCCGAGCATCGCGTCGTCCAGATCCAGGTCGTCGTCCTCGCCGGCGGCCTTCTTCAGCAGACGCTCGCGCTCCTCTTTGGCTTTGTTGTCGAGGTCCGTGTTGATCTTCTTCACTCGCATCTTCTCCTCCCACTCGTCGATGCCGTGCCGGGAGCGATTCAGATTCCTGTGCTGGTAGAAGATCAGCGTCATCCGCGTCGGATGGTGTCGGTCCGGCCTGCGCACAGCCGTCGTCGCGTGCATCTCGTGCTTGGCGCACTCGATCAGCACGCTGCCGTGGTTCAGCGCGATGGCCACGCCACCCATCTGTGGATCCTGGAAGGCCTCGATGTTCTCATTGATCTCCGCCACCTCGCCGATGGGCTCGATCTTGCTGGAGTTGGTGCTGACCGGCGATGCTGTGGGTCCTGCATTTCCGCTGGAACCTCCTCCTGCTCCACCCAGTCCTCCTGCTGCTGCTCCCGTTGCCCCGCCATTGGCATCGCTGCCTGTGGAGTCACCGGGGGGTGGCACTGCCAATGCTGTGGCAACCGTTGGCTCCACCGTGGGCGTTCCCATCTGGCCAGCTCCATTGCTGAGATCCGGCAGAATGGTCTGCGGTGGCGTGGCCGCCAGCTGCTGCTGATGCTGCTGCTGCTGCTGTTGCTGCTGATGCTGCTGCTGCTGGTGCGGGTGCTGTTGGTGGTGGAGTGGCGCGGGTGCCGTCAGCGTGGGTTTCTGCAGTCCAGCGATGGTTGGCGCAACGGCCCCGTGTGAGGCTATCAGCGTGCCACCTCCTCCGGCGGCGGGATTGGCCGCGCCATAGCCGGACCCCGTCTGATGGTGGCCGTAGACATTCCAGTTGGGCGACGGCGGTGGCGGCGTGGGCGGCGGCGTCTGCTGCGGCGGATACATGCCGTACGGCGAGTACGCCTGATGGTGGTACCCATAGTTGTAGTTCATGTTCTGGTACGCATCGTAGGCGGAGTAGGCCGAGTGGGGCGGCGGCGGTGGTGGCGGATACATCTGGTAGTTGTTGGCATACTGCGCCGTGTACTGGTAGTCGCTGGGCGGTGGCTTCGGCTTCACGAAACCCTCTTGCGGATGGTGCGGATGATGGGGATGGTGTGGATGGTGGTGGTGCGCGGCAGCGGCCGCCGCCACGGTGGTGAGTGGTGCGAGATTGGTCATCGGTTGCATGGCTGTCAAGGCGGTTAACTTACTCTCGGCCACCAGGCTGTGATTGACCAGCGTTGTCGAGTCTGGATTCTCCTCGCTGATCAGGCGGCTCTTCAGCCCATCCACGCCCTCAACTCCGACTCCTGCTACACCCACTCCGGGAGGTACTCCTCCCACAGCTCCTATGCCGCTCTGCTGCTGCTGCTGTTGCTGCTGTTGCTGCTGCTGCTGCTGCATGTCTGTGCCCGCTCCCGGCAGATTGGTTACTGCTGTCGGGGTCAGGTTGTTGTAGCTCGGCACATACCCCCCATTCGTCGCATCGTGCTGCGAGGCTGTCGTGGTGGGTGTGATCGGAGGTGGACCCGTGACAGGCGCTCCTCCTGCCCCGCCTGGTGTCAGGAGTGTTCCACCTGCTGCTCCTCCTCCTGCTGTGGCCGTTGGCGGCGTCACCGTGTTGAGCTGCTGCTGCTGCTGCTGCTGCTGCCCCGCCAATTGTGGCTGCTGTGCTGTGGGCGTGGTCGGAGTGAGTGGCGGCACTCCGGCCACTCCGGGCGGTGCGGGCGGCCCCGCCTGTGCGCCCATGCCCATGGCGTGCGGCGCCGGCCAGTTGCCGTAGTAGTTCCGCGAATCGATATAGGAGCCCGTCTGGTAGTCGTAGGAGTAGGGCGAGTCCAGGACGGTGCTCGAGATCTGGTTGGACTGCAGCTGGGCGTCCGTGAAGGTGTCTATCATGGTGGCCATGTTCATCAGGCTCGAGTTCGAGCTCATCAGCTGCCCGGGCTGCTGCTGCTGCTGCTGTTGCTGCTGCTGGCCCCCAGGTGGCGCTGCACCCACTTGCCCCACGGCCGCACCATTGCTGGCATTAGGATTGGCGCCGTGCACGGGCGGTGTGCTGAAGGCACTGCCCGCCGGACTGGGATTGTTCGTCACCGGCGTCTGGCAGCGGGGCGAGGGCGTCGACGGTGGCGCCGAGCCCGGCGTGGAGGCGCTGGAGTTGTTGTTCGACTGATTGGACTTTGCCTTTGACTTGGACTTGGCGTTAGTTCCTCCACCGTTGGCACTGCCCCCGGTGCCGTTCTCCTTCTTGATGTTCAGGGCGGGCGGACTGCTCTGCTGGGACTGTGACTGTGACTGTGACTGCGCCTGCGTCTGTCCGCCGCCATTGCTGGAGCTGCTCTGGCTGTTGGCATCCCCGGCGGCGTCTTGATCGCCGTCCGGTGGTGCCGCCTCATCGCCCTCTTTGCGCTTCTTGCCATGCCTGCGGCAGGGAATCAGCGGCGTGGATCGCACGCGTACTTCGCAGGGGAATCTAAGGGGAGGGAAAGGAATGGTTGGGGCATTGTTAGCACTTGTCTTGGGGGCAGAAGTCGGAGCTGCTGCTCAAAACTCAACGCTACACTCACTTGTCCAGCATTTGCACCGCTCCCGTGCGGTGCTTGTCCCGCTGCCCCTCGATGCTCTCGAACTCATCCGTGCCGTCCATCGTGTACAGCGGCAGCACGTGAAACTGCTCGTCGTCGGGCAGGCGATTGTCCCTGTTGCCGGGCTTCAGCAATGCCACGTGCACCGTGCAGCCGTCCTGCATGTTGTGCAGGTCCCGATGCGAGTGGGCGCAGAAGTCGAGGCAGGCCGTGACACCCGAGAAGGGTTTGCCGGGCTCCAGGCCCAGCCGGCAGTCGGAGGCCTCGCCCTCGTACTTCGTTTGATTGTCATAGGAACGCGGGCAGACCTGCTTGAAGACGGGCGCCAGCAGCGTGGCTATCAGGTTCATGTGATCCTCAATGGCCGCCTCCTCGCTCTTCACCGACAGCCGGAACTTGCGCACCGTCTTGGACCGCGCATACTTGCAGCCATTGTAGTACATGGACCACGAGCAACCGAAGCTATACGACGCGCCCGAGGTCTCCGGATCGAGGCCTAAAAGATGCAAGAAAATGTTCAAGAAATCCCTTGTGGCTGGGGTTGCTTGATCTGCCTTACCTTGACAGGCACAGGTGCGGTTCTCGTTGGTGGCGCAGCGTCGCGTCGTGGGCAGGCCGTATTTGTTGAGCTTGGGGATCAAGTTCTTGTAGGCATTGTCCGCCTCCAGTCGCGGCATGCCATCCCAGGCCACCATGCAGACAACAATGTAAGCGGCTATGCATCTGGGAGGAGCGAAAGAGAAAAGTTTAAGCAAGGTCTGGGGAAGTACTTCATGGCTGTGGCCTACCTATGACCCGGTCGCTTCTTCACCACCACCAAAATCTTCTCCTCCAGGTCCGCTCTGCGTATGACCCACTTGGCCACAGGACAACCCTGCGAGGTCTTGCCCTCCTTGCCCGTGTAGACAATCTTCTCGATGCGCAATTGCCGACCCGTCAGCTGACACCGATCCTCGAATTCGCGCCGCAGCTCCATGAGGGAGGAGGCCGTTCCTAAAGGGAAGAATTAGCTCACTGAAAGGCAAGTCTTTTGGTGACTTTCACTCACCGAGATGCGTGTAGTAAGTGCCCGGCTCTGGTGGATTCTTATCCGACTGGAAGCACTCGCATTCGGGTATCTCCGTCTTGTTGCCCTTCTCCAGCCGATCCGTTGTGTCGAAGAGCGGATTGATCTTCTCGTGCTTCACAATGATCTCGGGTATCTCGTCGGGCTTCTGCTTGCCCTTGGGCTTGCCCGCGCCACCGGGCTTCATGCCGTTGTGTGCCTCCGCCAGCTCATCCTCGTCGAGCAGCTCCTCCTTGGGCTGGATGCCCAGACCCAGGCAGGTGCCGTCCTTCAGATGCTCGGCCGTGGGTGGCCGCGTGCCGCCCTGGCGACAGCACGAGAAGCCATTGTTCAGCGGTTTGCCATCGCCCAGATAGGTGTACCCGCCCCCACCGCCATGCCCGTGCCCGTGACCGTGGCCCAGCATGCCCATGTCCTCCAGCTTTGGCTCGAGCATTCCGTGGTGACTGAGATGCGGCGGCGCTCCGTGCGTCAGGGCATAGCGATGCGGGGGAATGGGATAGGCGTGGGCTGGTATGTCCTTCTCGTAGTTCGTGGGCAGCGGAATGATGCTGTTCGTGTCCGGCTTGCGGTCCAGCTCCAGCATGCTCTGCCCATGCCCGTGCCCGTGCCCGTGCCCGTGGCCATGGTGCGGATTGTTGCCGGGCGGCGGCTTGCCCCTGCCCCCGTACGTCGAGTGCTGGTAGCCAGGCACAAAGTTCTGCTGGAAGTTCTGCTGGAAGCTGCTCGCTCCGGCGCCATAGTACGCCGAATTGTGATGGTATCCGCCGTACTCCTGCTGCCCATGCCCGTGTCCGTGTCCGTGTCCGTGGCCATGTCCGTGCTGCTGCACCGGCTGTCCCTGGCCATCGTTCTGGCAAAAGTCCGCGTACTGAATAAAGTTCTGGTAGTTGCGCTCGTAGCCCTCCATCTTGTTGGGCTGTCCGGGCATGCCGCCCGGCGGCGGAGGCAGGCCCGGCTCCGTCTTGATGTACTGCCCGTGATACTCCTGCCCGGCGGCCGGGTGCGGGTGCGGGTGCGGGTAGTGTGCGCCCAGGCCGGGCTTCAATCCACCTCCCGGGTCCGTGGCATTTCTGTCTCTGTCAATCTCCGCAGCTGCCTCTGCGGCGGCTGCTGCTGCCGCTGCTGCCCGGCTCGCCTTGCTGCGACTCCGCGACTTCTTGGGCTGTGCAACGGGCGGAGGGGGTGGCGGGGCCTGTGCCAGTGGCAGTGGCAGTGGCACCGGCGGCACGGGCTGTGGCGGCAACTCTGCGTGGCTGATGGTCGTGTGCTGTCCTGGCTGGTGCTGCTGCAGCTGCAACTGCAGCTGGGCATCCGCTCCCGGGTAGCCGCCACCGGCCACAGTCGGCTTCTTAAACGACTGGGCATGGTGCGGCTTCCAGATGTGGTCGCCACCACCTCCGATCGGCTCGGCAGCGCCCGCTATCGCCGCTCCCTGTTGCTGCTGCTGCTGCTGTTGTTGCTGCTGCTGCTGCTGCTGCTGCTGCTGCTGGTGCGGTGGGGCGCTGCTCGGTCCGTTGGCGCTCAGCGCCGCCTCGGGCCGGAGGTGGTGGCTATACGATAAAAAATGACCGGTCTGCTGATGCTGCTGCTGCTGCTGCTGCTGTTGGCTCTGCGGCTGACTGGTGGCTGCCACTGAGCCTGCACCCTGCAGCTGATGGTCGGGCGGCGGATCCTTGGGATCGCTCTTCCGCATAATCATCGACTTGATGCGCGTATTCAGATGCACTCGCTCTCCCTGCGGATATCCTTCACCTGCCATCTGCTGCTGCTGCTGCTGCCAGTTCCAGTCCTGCATGGGTGGCGAGGAGAGGTGTCCCTGTCCCTGCCCCTGCTGCTGCTGCTGTTGTGGCGCCACATAGGGCTGCAGTCCGTTGCCAGTCGGGGACTGGGACACGAGGCGTGGCTGTTGCTGCTGCTGGATGAGACTCGTCCTCGTGGGACTCTGGGGCACTGCCAGGGGCTGGCCTTGATTGGGGAGTGGCTGCATCGGCGACGACGCGGGCTGTGCCACTGTGGCTGGTGGGGCGGGCGTGCTGGTGCCACCACCGCCTGCCGCCGTCGCTTGTTGTTGTTGCTGGGATTGTTGCTGCTGCTGCTGTTGTTGTTGTTGCTGCTGCTGTTGCTGTTGCTGTTGTTGCTGTTGGGGACCGCTGTAGTCGCCTGAATACCCGTTACAGTTGAGTGAGCGCGGCGGCACGCTGCTCACCCGCGGATATCCAGGCGTGTCGTTTCCCGACATCGTCTTGTTCAGATCAGCGCCCACCAAATGCTGCTGCTGCTGGGACTGCTGTTGCGTCTGCTGCTGCTGCTGCTGCTGCTGCAGTCCACCCACCGAGGACGAGGGCGGTGCTGGGGCCGTGGACACCTGTCCGGCATAGCTCACGCTGCCCGGCGCAAAGCCCGCGACACTCTGCAACCCCACCTGATTGATGGCCGAGGGTGCCGTGGACAGCTGCTGGCTCTGGAAGTCGTAACGCTGCACTGGCGCCGCATACGGCGAGCGGCCGTAGTTGGGATCAAAGCCGAGGCCCGACTGCACGTAGCCGTTGGAGGGATACGCGTACGATTGCGTCTGAAAGTCCAGCGAATTGAGCGATGTGATGGCCGGGCTGTTCTGTGGTATCTGCTGTATGAACTGGTTCTGCCAGCCCTGCGACGGATCCGCCTGCCATGTGGGATAAAAGGCCATGGGTGCCTGCAAAGGGGAACAGAGAATTTATTGGAATATTTTAATAAATAAACCCTAAAAACAGCTACCACAAAATGCTGTTTCCATGGGAAATTATTAAACATAAATCATACAAATTTTGTTTGCCCTAATTAGGCAGCGAAAAAGTAATTGCGGAGCAGGCAGAACACCCCCCATTCAACCTCCCCTTCCGTGGCAGCCACATTGTTTGCTGTTGTTGCCTTTTATTGTTGTTTCTCCTGCAGTTTGTTGTTAATTAACGCGCCTTCAATTATGCTACGTTTTGTTGTGCTCCGAATAAACAGGAAAGGAGTTCCACCCCAAAAAGAAATGAAACAACTCTCCCCCCAACTCACGATCCACAACCCGTTTTCATTTGCATTTTTACGACAGCACTGCAAAAAGTTATGAAAGTGAAAGCCACAACAACAGGATGGGGGAGCAGGCTGGAGGGAGGGAGGGAGGCACTGAAACAATAAAATTGCAAATAAAATGCAACAATTAAAATACAAACAAAATTGTTAATAGTTCAAGTGCCAGACTCCATTCCATCCCCCCTAGAAATATATTTATTTGGAAATTCAACAGAGAGAAAACATTTCTCTGTGCGAGTTTTTTTTTTGCTGTTGATTTATTTTGAAAAGCATTTTACCAATCATTGATAAAAATCGACCAAAAAATCGTTATGAATGAATGAACGAAACTCTCTCTCCCTCCCTCTCTGTCTGTAGTATATCTGTGTGTGAGTGTGTGAGTGTGTGTGTCTGCTGTCTGGTTCTGTGCGCTTTTTGTGTGTTTGCACAGCTGCGGTGCGACGTGACAGGGGCAGGGGCAGACACAAGCGAGAATTTATGGGTTTGTATTTTGCATTTTGTTGGGTTGAAAACGGAAAACGAAATGAAATCAAATGAAATGCAACTGATTGACTGGCAACAGCACGATGGCAGCACCACCCGAAGGTCAATGGTCAAAGGTCGCAGCTGCTGCTGTTTTTAATTGCTAAATGAAAGGGAAATCGAAATGGAAATTGCATTGAAGTTTGTGCTCACCATTGGCTGTTGCGGTTGATCCTTCATGGTTTGAATTTGTGCTGTTATCTGATGCTGCTGCTGCTGCTGTGGCAAATGTTGCTGCTGCGGCTGCTGCGACTGATGTTGCTGCTGCTGTGCGTGTTGCTGCTGCTGCAAATGTTGCTGCTGCTGCTGCTGGAAGTGCTGCTGCTGCTGCGGATATTGTTGCTGCTGTTGCGACAAAAGTTGCTGCTGTGTCAACAGTTGCTGCTGCTGCTGCTGATGCTGCTGATATTGTTGCTGCTGTTGCGACTGATGCTGCAGACCAGCAACTCCAGTGGCTGGAACTGTTGCTGTTGTGGTATTTGGCGACTGCTGCGGCAACAATGTTGCTGCCGGCGTTGGACTTAGACGGGGCGATGTGGCTGATGCAGCGGCTGCACTCAGTTTATTTGCTTTGGTGGAGGTTTTGCGGGCACGTGACTGCTGAAATTAAACCAATAAAAGAAGAGTAAACTCTGATTAGTTGAAGTCTTTAAAAGAACAGAGAGTAATTGCAGTAATTATGGCAACCAAATATTTGCAGCTATTTTCTGGTTGCCTTCTGCAGACTTGCAGCAATTAGTTTAAAATATATTTTTAATTAAGCAAGCAACATTTTCGCTGTTGGCTGTACAAATATTTTAATTGCCTCCCCTCACCAGTCCCCTCTCTCCTCCTTCTAGGGTAGACCCCCATCCGATCGCATAAATTATGCTCGCTTCGTTCACATAATTTCTTGCTTGTTTTTTGCCGGCAACATGTAAAATTTATGTGCCCCACGATTTATGTGCAATTTATTTGTGCAGCCAAAACAACAACAACAGCGACTGCAAAATGTTGCACACAAAAATTCATAGCTGCAACAACAGCAACAGCTGCGGCTTGGAGACTGTGGCTGAAATATGTTGCACTCCCCATTAAAGGCTTTCAAAATTTATGTTCATAAAAGAGTGGTGCCCCGTCCCGTCCCGTCCCGTCCCCCTGCCGTTGTCGTTGTCGTTGCTTTGTTTTGTTGGGTGGTTAGGGGTATTCCTAGGGATGCATTCCCCTTGTGGAAAGAGTGTAAAAATAGTTGGAACAGACTACTGCTCGGGGCAGGTCAATCGATAGCGTCACATGGCCACCACCACATCCGAGTGCAGAGTGCCGAGTGCCGAGTGTCGAGTACGTGCTGCAGACTATGTATATGGGTGGAATGCTTAAAAGTTGTTCTTGATAAAATGCGCACGAGGGGGGGTGGGCAGAAGAGAAGCCATAAAATAGTTGGAAAAACCTTTTTGCCTTGAGCTACTTTTCTATGGTTTTGACATCAAATGCAGATTTATTCATAATAGTTTATATTTAGACACAGAGGCGAGGGCCATGACAAGCCAAGAAAATTGTTCTACGATTGAGGCATTGCTTTGCGCCAATTAAACCACAAAATCAAACAAAGTATTTGTTGCTCTTAGAGCAGACAGTTGATAACATTTACACGCTTGATTTGAGCCATGAAAGGGGATACAAAGGGCAGCCCAAAAGAGCCACAACAAATGAGACAGAACTCGGGTAAACATTCTGGAAAGCAAACAAAAATCAACTGCAAACTCAGAACGAATCTTTTGCACAAATATTCCCCCCGTAAACATTTCGTAGGCTAATTACAAAAGGCACAAATCAAAAGTTTACCAAAAATGCCAAAACCAACAGCAACAAATGACACAATGGAAAGTCTGGTCTGGCCAATTAAAGTGGCTTAGACGGGGCAGGGAGCGGGGGATTTGTTTAGACATAAATACAATTTGCACACATGGACGAATGGAATGGCAGTCAAAGCAAATCGTTTGTGTTTGTGCAAATTGGCTGCAATAAAATGATTTATATTTTACACATGTATAAAATAATATTTGCCACCTTGACAGGCCCAGGCCCAGGCACAGGCACAGGCCCAAGCACAGACCAATCTGTAACTGTGTGTTGCCTTATCCAGCATAATGCAATGCAAATAGATTCCACACAGTTCGAATTAGAGATGGCAGATACACAGAGCTGCAAAAATTAATGTTTATGTTCTAGTTACACCGTAATATTGTCTGCTTTCGGTACAGTCCCGGCAACAGTCTCGGTTTGTAACTTTTCTCGTGCCTTTCGTGCACGAAGTGGAGTTTGTGCCATCTCTAGTGCGACTCCAAATGCCTGACTCCCACCTATCTCTCTCTCTCTCTCTCTTTTATCAGTGGGGACCAGGTGCGACGAAGCAACCAAATATCTTGGGCAAACAGAGTGGTGGAGTGGAGAGTGGAGAAGTAGGAGGATGTCGCCTTCCAGCTCCTGCCTCTCTTTGCTTTCTAAAAATATTTGCATTGCAAATATCGAGATGTAGGAGGAGGAGCAGGAGTCAGAGGGGTAGCAGAGGCGGAAGCGCAGGTGCAAAAATTAAAATAAATTTGCACGCAATTTCAAATTGAAAATTGCCAATTATTTCTGCTTACATTTCCCTTTCCTGTTCCTTTTCTCGACCCCTTGCTGCTGCTTTTGAGCAAACAAGCGATAGATAAACATCTGTATATTTGAGCATAAACAATATACAGACCTCTATATGAAGGTATTAATTAAAGTTTTGCAAACATTGGGCAACATATTTGTATATTTGTATTTGCTCAGGCATTGACAGGCGCAAACACGAATGGAAAAACAAATGAAAAATCGTAAAAAGCGGGCACGGGCACGGGCAGGGCAACAACAGAATAAATATAAATAAATGTTGTTTTCTTTTTCTAGTTTCTTCTCTGCTCTTTAATGCATTTTCCTCGGCCCACACACACACACACACTATTTACCGAGTTCATAAAAGTTAATTAAATTTTTATGATACTATTTTGTGTTTGTTTCTTGGTTAAATAAATAAAGAGTCCAACAGAAATATGGCCTCCAGCGGGGGATAGTAGTAGAGTGTGTGTGCTGTCAGGAGATAGTGAGAGATTAGTGAACTGCAGTTGATGAAACAGAAAGGAGAACGCAAAGAAAAAGAGACAGGCTAAGCAAGTCGAAGACTTGAATACACTTGCAGAACCATTCTAAGTGTGAAGATTGATTCCAGGCACTCCAAACGAACAATTTTCGTAGCTTTATCAGCAAAATACTCCCCAAGAGAGTGAGATATTACAGAGACTCCTTATTCTTTTCACAATCATAATACTCTATCTCTGCACGCGCTGCACAATCTGAACAACAACAAGAGCTGCGAGCAATGAATGATGGCCCTGGGGGAGATATTTTCTTGCTCAGAGAGAGAGAGAGAGAGAGCAGCTCCTTGGCTTGCCTTCCTTTCTACGCCCCCACCCACCACGCACTCATTCGCACAAAGTGTTGAAGAGAAAATTGCGCGCTGAGTAAACAGCAATTAGTTGTGTCGCTGTGTGCGTTTATCTTCGCTGCTTCGCTGCCTCGCTGCCTCGCGTGTGTGCACGTGTGAGCGCGTGTGTCGTGTGTGCATGTGTGCGTTACATTGCCTTGATAAGCAGCAAACGAAATGAAAAGAAAAGAAAACGAGGCGAAATAAGGTTAAGTAAAGGTAAAAACCTTGCCACAAATTTATAGACATGATTTACGTGTCCCTCCATGCAAATCTTTAAGATATGCCAAATGTAAGGTTAGTTAAGCTCCGCCAAATTGAACACTTGGTAATACTTGGCCAGAGAGAGGTACAGTTCCATGGCAAACTATCTATTTGAGTCCCTCTTCCACACTGATAAGCGGCCATATACCCAGACAACACCTCTCCTCTCCCCCTCTCTCTCTCTCTCTCTCTCTCTCTCTCTTTCTCCCTGTATTCCCCTCATAAATTACACACATAACAGCGTCTACATTCGTATAATATAAATTATTTACATGTCCCCAAAGTCAAAGTCTGCTGATAAGGTCGAGCACAGGAGGGTGAGAGAGAGGGGAGGGGCATAAAAAGCAAATCAAAGGCAAATGAAAAGAAAACACGGGGAATAGAATTGTAAATAAATCAAATATTAGTTATCGTTTATTTTCTTACTGCTCGGAGAGGCTCTTCTATTTGCTCTAGACACGTTATCTGGAATGTGTGTGTTTACTGGCATGATTGGAAAATGTTGAAAAGATGTTGAAAGGTGTTAAAGTTCTTGAGGTAATCGTTGATCAGTGAGTCCAAAGAGAAATACCCTACAGAAACGAATGCAGACAGACTCTGCTTTAATTACTTTGGCTTTATCCTATAGTAAATTCGATTGGAATCCTGCTTCCAAATATTTACACATTTCCTGCTTGAAAATTGCCAAGGAACATTTCACACAATCCAGCCAAAATAATTGTTTGCAATTAAAGCAAATCTTCATCGGTAACAATTCTGCATTTTCAGCAGAATATTTCATTGGGTTCCACACACACTTCCGACCCACATCCCACTTTTGCTCCGTGTACCATTTGCTTTAACGGTAAATGCAATTTCTATGATTGCATCCAGACATCATTCTCCACCTCTCTTTCTCTCTCTCTCTCTCTTGACTGGGGAAACACCTTTGGGGGCTGCTCAAATATTTAACTTGTATTTCGTATTCATGCTAATTTTGCATTTTCCACAATTTTCTCGCCCACCCACTTTAGTACTCCTGCTTCCTCCCTACCCTCTTTTCCCTCTTTCTCTCTTGTGTGTTCTGCACATCTTCCCCTCATTTTCTCCATCCATTCCTAACGCCCTGCCTCTGTGTGTGTGTGTGTATGTGCGCTCCTTTATTCCATTCCATTATCCTGCAGCACATTCTGCCTGGCTCTTGAGTTTCTTGCGGGCTGTCTGTCTGCCTGGCTGGCTATCTTCTGCTTCTATCACCCACACACAAACACATACACGTAATTGCAACTGCTCGTCTATGTGTGTGCCTGCATGTAATTGTACGTGTCGAGTGTGCGCCGTTGCGCAGACTACAGTTATTTCTTTTTTACGCGCCTTCTGGCATACTCTTTAATGAGGGTATGTATTATGATTTATTATTTCACTATAGGGTATATGAGGCAGCATTAGGAACTACAAAACTTGTCTATGAACAGCCAGAAATGACATATTTGCACTAATTAGATCTATTACTGATTAATACATAAACATTTTACCCATGGTAATGATGACAGGGTATCTAGTGCTTCGCTGTCGAAAGTTTCCTTTTTCTTTTTTCTACTTTTTTGGAGCCTCCACTTCTGCCTGCCTGCCTGACTGCCTTGTTAGCATGTGTCGAGGGTCTGTCTGTCCCGCTTTCGCTGCAGCTTCATATTCCACCACTCCCCACACTCTATCTCTATCCACCGTCATTCTGCTCTCTCTCCCTCGCGCCTCTCTCTCTCCATGTGTGTATTTTATTCAATTTAGCTTTCAATTAGGCTGCAATTGTTCGTCCGTTGGCACTGCTCCGGCACTTGCATTCCTAAACAGTCTCGTCCTCGTCCCCGCCCCGTCTCCAATCTGCTCCTGGCTTTTGCCGGGGGCTCTGCTCTGCCTTCAGGCAAAAACTACAACCGAAAAAATCTACGCTTGAAAATGTTTGACCAAGAAATGCAGAAACTAACTCAATTTTCGCCTCCCGCTCTGCTCTGCTTTGGCTGTCATTTGCCAAGCTTAAAGCCTCAATGCGTCCTTCCATCCAGCCAGCCAGTCAACCAGCCATCAGTTCATCAGCTGCTCATTCATTTCCCGTTCATTATTTTGATTGAATATTTGCGATAAATTAAATTGGAAAGAGGCAGCGCAGCGTAGAGCGGCAGTGGAAATATTTACTGATTGCCTGACTCTCAGGCAGAGTGAGAGAGAAAAGGTGGGCGGGTAGGAGGAGAGAACAGTAAAGAGGAAGCCGCAAAGAGAGCGGAAGAGAGAGAGAGAGAGAGAGAGTAAATTATAATGCAATGCCGGCACCGGTAATCAATAGAGCAAATATTTGCAAATCAGCCCTGAAAAAAATAGCAAAAAGAAAAAAGGAGAAGCGAAGAGAAGAGAAGAGAGAGTGGCAACAGATCTGAGTGGACATCCTTAAAAGTCATTTTCGAAATGGATGCTGGTGTTATGTAATGCATTTGCCGGAGCACCAGTTCCGGGCGGCCCCACACCCCCGCTCCACACTGATGGCCTGCCTGAGAGCAGATGGAAACTTGTTTCGGGCATCTCTCGCTCCCTCCAGCAGTCACTCTCTTTTGCTTCCTTCCTTTGCTTCGCTCTTTTTATACGCTTGCGGAGAGGAGTATTCTTAATTTCAGTAAAGATATGTAAATATGGTTGGCTTAGGGCAGGGAGGAAGATTTAAGGTTTGCCCTTAAATCCATGTGGTTAATGCAAAATATTTCCACAAAACTTGCTTCGATCCATCATCAATATTTAGAGTTATGAGAGGACCAAGACTGATCTCTAAGTGTATCTATGACTTCGTTGCCCGAAGTTGGCCTTCCTTTCCCCCTTTTTTTTTGTTTTTCTTGCAAGCGTCAGCTTTGTGGCTGCTTTGTTGGCTCTGCTGTTGTTGTTTTTGTTGTTGCTGCTGTTGGTTTTGTTTTAATTATTGCCAGGCATGCCATTAATTTTGGCATGTCGAGTCGTTAACGAATTCCTTGGCAATTCTTTTTTCCTCTCCTCTCTACACATTTCCTTCTTTTTTTTGGCACGCCATGGCATGCTTTATTATGTGCCTCTCCCCTCCGCGGCCTCTTTTCCCCGCGCTCTCTATTTTCATCATTCCATCATTCCTCGACTGTTCTTGATTCTATTGTTCTGCTTAAAGCTTTATTTTTAGCTCATTCACTCTTTCGCTTTAATCTGTTTTTGAGCTGGCAACATTGCTAATTGAGCAAATAAATAACTATTTATGCTTTCAGGCTCTTTCTATTCCTCTCCCACTTGATCGCACAAATGCTTCCATACAAACGAGAGTCCTGTCCCTGTCCCTGTCCCTGTCCTCCCTGAGCGGCGCGTCGTGACAACAGTTAATTACAAAGTTGGCAGCGCGGAAACTGCCAACTGAACACGAAACAAAGCAGAGTCCGGCCCCAAAAACAGGCGATGCCATGCGGGGATAACATGCAACACAGCAAAAAGCAGAGAAGAGAAGAGCAAAGCGAAGAGCAGAGAGCGGCTTTGGAAGAGAGAACACTGCAGCAAGCAGCAACAGCAACGTCACAGGCAGTTAGACATTGTACATGACTCAGGAATGGGAATGGGAATGGGACTGGGAATGGGCACACACTCTCAAAACAAGTGACTGGATCACATGGCACAATAGAAAGTTGGTTTTGCAGATCTGGAATGGGTTCAGAGGGCTGTGTGGGGACTTGGACTCTACTTGTTGAGCTCACATGGAATTCTCCTGCTAACAATATCGAACAGTCTCCATGTGTAAGACGAGTGTGAGAAATTTGTCATGATCCAGTCAAAAATTTGGCATTCAAGTGGAATTGGAAAGGATGATTTGTTGCGTTCACCTTTTGTACGATCTCTTTTGGCATGACTTTGTTTCTAATTTGTCAGAGTGAGACGGCAGACAGGCTCTGTCCTTGTGTACATCAATTAATGTTGCTCTGCCGACGGTAAACTCGAGACAATAAAATCACTAATTGCACAAAATCCCCTTAAGATCAGCACAGACGATATTATGTTTATGGCACTTTGCTTCTGCATCTGCATCTGACTTGATTAAACCTCTAACTAAGCACTTTGCATATTCCGGGAAAATTCATTGCGAAAATTCGTAATTTGCGGTCAATTTTGGGACTGGGGCTGCAAGAAGATTCCCTGCCTGGTGTAAATTGCAGATGTTTCCAAATATAATATTTGGTCATTAATTTCAACAGAAACTAGTGAAATATTCAAATTCAAATTTATATTGTATGCTGGAGCGCTCGTTGTTGTTGTTGTTGCTGTTGTTGGTTGCTGTGTTTGTTGTTGGTTTAATTACTTGGCCAACAAAAGTGGTCGAAACTGAAGAGAGGCGTGGCTTTTCGTTTGGCAGCAGCTGCAAAGTATAAACAATTATGCTAAAATGCAATATTTACGGCCTCCTCGACTGTTATGCTAATCACGTTATGTATGCAAGTGTGTGTGTGCTGTGCTGTAAGTGTGTGTGTTGTGTGTGTGTGCAATTCAGAAAATGAGAAATCTGTCTCCCTATGCATCTCTCTCTCTCTCTCAGTCTCTATGTGTGTGTCTGCATTGTGGATTGTATTTGCATACAAATTGCAATGTAGATGAAGAAGCAAGAAGAATGCCGAACATTTCGGGGGTCGCAGCTATGATACCCTCGCAGTTAGATTATTTCCATGGCAGTCCATATTCATATGATTAAAATTACATATTTTCAATCGATTCTACCACTGGCAAAGCCAAATAAATGTATAGTATATTGCCTGTTACTTAGACTCTCCTAAAATCTCCTTCTCTGCCTCTGCACATCATTTCCTCAGCATAATAATACCCTCTCTCTCTGGTTATGAAAACAACAGCTACAGCAGATGTGGAGTGAGCAGATTGAGAGGCAGCAACAGCAACAGCAACAATGTCTCGCATAATTACAAAACTTCAACGGCCACACCACCGAACACCAAGAATTTGCATGAATATTGTTATTTCTTTATGAATATAATTCTTGGGGTTATTGGGAGCCCTCTTCTGGGAGCCGGCCTGGCCTGCCTGCTCTTCTTTTTTTTATAATTGAGTAATTGGCATTACGGCACCACGAGTACAAGTACGTACTCCTCCATTAAGTCAGAGAACATAAATTGACTCAAGAAAAACGTAAATTGTTGGCAGGTGCTGATGTTGCTTGTTCTTGTTGTTGTTGTTGTTGCATTTTGACTGACACTTTGTTGCTGTTGCCGCTATGGATGTGGATGTGGATGTCGCCTGTGGATCCTTTTTAGCGGCACGCGATGATTTAATGCTTTGCGCCACTTCGTTTCCAGGCCAGGCCTCGGCAGATTTTAAATTATTATTATGCCAGGCCATAACAGCCATGACAACTACAACAATCAAGTGAGCAAAGTAAATGCTTGAGTTGAGATGCGACTCAAAAATACCCATTACTAGCCAAGGATCTAATAAATATATCAATAATAAAAGAAGATCATTTGTTAGCTATTCTTTCTGTAGATTCTTTAGTTGGAAATGTGGTAATATTTGATAATAATATTTGAGGTATCCTCTCATTCGTCAGTCACTCTCCCTATAGGAACGAACGTCTCTACGCTGTACCGTGTACAAAAATATAATTAAAAACTTGTCTTCAATTGCCATAAATCCACGTCAAAGAATCTCGTTGCCCAATACTCGTACAAATTTCATTCTCTTTTTGTTTTTGCCCCCCGCTCTGCTCTACTCCGGATCTGAACTGCTCCGCTCTGCTCTGCTTTCGTTATTATTTTTATTACAATCTCTTTGAAACCCGTAAAATTGAAGTCATTATTATAATACTAGTTTCTTGTGGGTTTTTCTTCATATTTTTTTTTTCTAGTACGAGTATAAGTATTTTGTTGCATAAACTAGTTTTGTGGCTTGCTGCTTGCTTGGCCGCGATTTGGCCAAGTGGAAAATGTTTGCATTGGCAACAACATTTGAGTACAAGTAGTATGTCCTCCTCTGTGTGGTTATTAGATCAACTTGGCTAATTGCTAGCATATAGAGATGTTTGTGGTTTTTAGCGTGCCTTAACTTTTAGACGGCAGTGTAATTGCACTGCCGGCAATGACTCACGAATGGGGAAGCTGTTACTCTGGGTGTTTATTTTTCTTGATTTTTTTTACTGGTTTGTGTGTCGGTTTTGTAGCGTTTAGCGGAAATACCAAACCGGCAACTCAATTTGAATATTATCTCTCTATTTGAGCGCTTTCTGAAGCTAAAAGCCGACTGACTGCCGAACAAATTGAAACAATGAATCACTTCTATCTGATTTTATGAGCTTTGCGAATATCTCAATATGTTTTGAGACCGTTGATAATTTGATGGGCCGCGAGTGTTTAGTCATTTAATGAGTAAATTGTTTTCGCAAATCAAATGGAAGTCAAATGAAGCATTTCTAATAAATGGGCAATTTACATATATTAAGCAATTAAATCATTTATTTTTGCCACAAGCAATTGCAAAATCAACATTTCAGAGGAGCAGACAGAGTCAACTGTGTGTATAATCTGTAAATTAAATCCGTCTGTCTATCAAAATCATAACGGGGGAACGAGAGTGTGCTCAAAGTACATAGTATATGTAACAAAAACATTCGAAATTCTCGGCCATTGATTGATTGATGCACACCTAAAGGCATTTTAAAGGAGAATTCAATCGATTGTTAATAAAATAACGAGTTCTGTGTGTTTCTGTTCACCTTTTCCTCATACCTTTCCACGTTCCCAGCAAAATTATTCTGCAACAAAGTTCTCGTACAAAAATTTCATTCAATTTGTCTTCATTTATTTTGCAATTTTGCACTTCCCTTTGGCTGCTTTATTGATTTACAATCATTTTGCACACCTGTGCTGCTGCTCTGCCTCCCTGTATGTGCTGTACATGTGCCAGCCATCGGTTACCGGTTACCAGGTTGAGCAAAAAATAAACATCGAATAAACATTTTCATTCTTTCATTTTTTGTTGTGCTTGGCAACGGCTAAACAACCTAACAAAATAAATGAATTAATACAAAAATAGATTCAGCAAATAAAAAAGGGGTTCTACAATTAACTTTTGTATACAAAAAATGGCAATTAAGCGGGAGGGAATGGGAATGGGAATCGATGATATTCTATATGTTGTGTCCTTTCTCCAAGGGCATGCAAAAAAGAGCAAAAACAGCAGCAGAGGCAGCAGCACGTGAGCGGCAGAGTTCGATTTCGAGAGAAAGAGCGCGGTGTAAAGTATCAATGACATTGCCTCTCCCCCTCATACACACGCTGCTGCTGCTGGCTGGCCTTTGGTTAAGCTCGCACATACAAAAGCAACGTGTTGATGAATGAGCTTTCGTTGTTGCGCTGTCCCCGTCTCCCTCTCTCTCTCTCTCTCACTGTCGGCTGTCAAGTGCATAACAGAAATAACAATCGCAAAAACAACTCTAACATGACTGCAACGGTGTGCAGGGGAAGGGGCGTGCTGTGGTGCTACAACCAAATGACTCAATTTACAATTGTACACAAAAATGCGAATGTCGTTCGCTGCCAACGCTGTTGTTGTAACTGTGCAAAATGTCAGCGACGTCACAACAGCACATTTTGTATTTTTTCTCTCGTTTCGCACTGTGAATGTGGTTTAATTTGTATGCGTGAGCGTATGTATGGGAGAGCTGTAGTTGAAAGCAAGTCATGTGAAAGAGAAGGTGTGGGTGAGAGAGAGCTGTAAGAGCTAAGCTACCTGAGTGATTGACATAACCTCACCCGCTATTCCCATGTGCCTTGGGTTTCAACTTTAAAGTTTTGCTTGCTCTCTTCACTGTTCAGCACTCTCTTTTCTTCAGTTCCCGCTCTCTCTCTCTCTCTATGCAATGTGCTGTGTATGTGTGCCTTCCGTTTATTGAACTCGCGCCGCGGCATGAGGTTAATTGACCTCGTGCTTAATGCAAAAATAAATATAATTTTTTACAACAACCAAGCACACACAGCAACAACAACTAAAACCGAAAATGAGAAAAGGGTTGCCGCTGTAGTTCTAGTTGTACAGTGTAGTAAGTGGTACAAAAACAAGAAAAAAGGAAGGTAAAGAGCAAAGCAAACAAGTCAGAATGAAAACACGTTTAAAGTGTTTTACATACAAACACAAATACGCCTTGCGTCTGTGTGCATGTGTGCCTTTGCCTGGTAACCCCAAGCATAGAGTATGAAAAGGTTTCACTCGGTTTTTTGGTCAGATAGAGAATTAATGTAAGAAACTTTCAAGAGATAATTATTCAATTATTCACTCAAGGGTTACGATTATGGAGATTTACAAATGTTCAATTCGTTTCACTCATGAGGGTATACAATGTGCTACCCTGCCTGCTATTGTCTCCCATTTAATGCCATAGCAAATGCCATAAATCAGCCTCATGCTTTCTACCCTGACACAGTTAGGGTAGCAGTTGATCCACTTTCATTGCAGTCACCTTCATTACCCACTCGACAGCAGACTAAGTCGACGGAGCTTCTCCATTTACGAGTAATACCTCTGCTTCCAGCGAGACTATTCAGTATGCTAGTCACAAGCACCCAAATGAATATTTGAGAAATTTCATTAACTTCTACGAATGTGTGTGTATGCAAATGAGTCGATAATCGGCCAGCAATCATCCACCTGACACACCCATCTGCACAGCTCCATTCCACATATTTGATTCTCAGTTGAACAAAAAAGCAACGCAAATTATTTCGCATTACGGGTATTTGCTTGTGCCCGTTTCGAGTACTCTTCTGCTGTCTCTAATCCTGCTCTCCAGCTCATGGAGCTCTCATCCGCTGTTTGTTTTAAGCCAAATAACAATGAAAATGTTGCCTACTTTTAGTTCATTGAACTGGCTTAAAATATACGATTTAATTTTGGATTCTTTTATGAATAATTTATCATTGAGATCGAAATAGAATGGAATACATTTTAGGCAAAAGAATTAGCTCTGATCTCGTCATCAGTGTGCTCGAAATGAGAATTGATGTGACAATCAGTCAAGAATTGTGTGCCTTAATAAATCTAAATCATATTTCAAGTCATGCATAATTTATTTTACAAGGTTGTTGCCTTCTAAGAATTTCGAGATTACAAATTCAACTAAGCGCAAACGCAAAGTGTATGAAAAGAATGCAAAATAGTTTTTAATTATGCGTAATTATTTCGAGTCTAATTAAACGTGAAGAAGTGTGTGGGAGTTCAGTGACCGCCAAAAAAACAACAACTGAAATGAACTTTTGGCATAAGCGAGTGGAGAGTACTCCGGAGAGGGGTTGAAGTGAAGTCAAGTGGCATATCAAATGGGGTTCTATTAAGAGCTTAGATCGTCCATCAATCTGAAGTACTCCACGTCTCATTTGGATAACAATCGGATTTAAAGTAGTCTAAAGTACGTCCCTTCCTCCGCGGCCCACTCTATTCTTAGCTACCAATCAGATCCTAAGGCAATGAAATTTTCCTCTAACCATTCAATGGGGATTACATTCAAATCTTGCAGCCTCCCCTAAGCCACTCTCTATCGCATCATCTCATCTCATCTCATCCACTGCTCTGCAGCTTACATTTTTTCCGAGGCTTATCCCACGTCATTAAGTTACTTAATCACTGTATTTAATTTCCTTACGGCCTGCCTCATTATCTTGCCTTTGCCTCTGCAAACGAAGCGGATTTACTGGAGGAGCAAGAGTGCGAGTGGGAGTGAAGCGGAGGGGAACCTGATTACCCGGCCCTGGGGGTTGTGGAGCGTGTTAAATGGAGGAAAAAAAAAACAAAGTAAACGCATGAATCACTCACACACTCGATTCGGCCAGCTGGTTTTAGCCTTCTTTCACTCCACCAACCACCAAACATTTCCCGCTCTTCACTTACTTTACTTTATTTTACTTTACTTTACTTTATTTTGCGGAAATGTTTTCTTTCTGTGTCTCTACTTCTTATTTTTTCTTGTACAGCAGAAACTCGTTTCGCTAATTGGCCCCAAAAAACACAAAAGACAGAAAACGAAAACGAAAAGGAAATGTTGCCCCCAAGGATGATGGTCGAGGCAAGTCATACACTTCCTTCCAAGAGGACTATCTAATCTAGCTTCAGTTTGGGATATCTTTTGCGTGAGTTAGGGATTGATAAATCTGCTTTATCCCTAAGAATGTATAGAGGCTTTGTATACTTCCTGCTCTCCTCTACAAACATCATCTGTGGGGTGTCCACAAAATGCAGTTAAATGGCGACAGCCATTAAGTGACTTGTCTTGTTGGTCGGATTCCCTCCTCCTCATGTCGTAGCCATCGATTTGGGTTAAGTGCACAGAACTTACCTGCAAAGGAAAGCGAAAGAGAGAAAGAAAAACGAGTTAATTAGTAAAAGTTGAACACGGATAAATGTAGGTAAAGTGAAATCAATAGGAAATTATTTGTTGTTTTATTAAATATATTTTTGGTGGATTTAAATTCCAGTTTCGTTGACGGCGGTAATTGATTGCAATTTATGATGGGCCCTGAGCCGACGAAGGCCACAGTCGAAGGGTCGCGGAGTCAGAGTCAGAGCCAGAGCCAGAGCCAGAGAGCAGCCACTGCGCGGAGTGGTTATCCTTGAAGCAGTACAATGCCCAATGCTGCTGCGGCTGCGCAGACACACACAGAAAGAGCAAGAGAGAGGGAGGGCTGTTGTCAGGAGCATAAACAGGCTCTCCAACCGGAGGCTGTACTCACACAAGAGTGGGAGCGAGGCAGAGCTAACAATGGGGGAAGAAGACAAACTGCTTTCAGATTGAGAATCAGATTCTTTTTCGTTATTCATCTTCCGCTCCTTCGTCTTCGTCTGCATCTTCTTGCTCTCCCCCACCTTCTTTGTTCTTTTACAAACAAACAAAAGAGAGAGAAAAAAAGAGAGCGAACGAGCTGGCAGCAGCCAGCAGCAGCAACAACAAAACTCGATTAACTCGACATTAATTTTAATTCGACATTTGCCTGTTGCTGTTCTTCTTTTGCGTTTTTTTTATTGTTTGCTTTTGTCTTGTTTTGAATGCCCTTTGTTTTTGTATGGCTCTGCTCCTATTTTATATGGAATTTCCTCTCTCTTTCTTCGCTTCGCTTTGTTTTTATTTTAATTTCAATTTTCATTTGTGTCTTTTCTTTATTTTCATTTGCTGCTGCTCTCTGCGTGCCCTCGAGTGTGGCTGCCAAAATGCAAAGTGTTTTTTATGAAACGAGTTCTGTTTCCGTTTTTCGAGTGAAACTGACTTTAACGATCCCAACGATCGTCAATCATTCTATCTCTCTCTGTCTCTGTCTCTGTCTCAGTTCTGCCTCTGAAGATGCAATCAATGAAGCCATAAAAACTTATTCAAAAGCCATTCATATTTTATATTAACGACTTCCCTTGAGGCAGGGCCTAACGCTCTAATGATATCAGGAAAGACTTTCCCACAGCATTTACTGGGTTTCTTCCTTCCTTATTATGATAAAGTACTTCCCATACATGAGCGAGAGGCTAAGTAATAAATGTGGAGACACACTCTGTTATATTTTTCGTAACAACTTCCATAGAAACTCGTAATTTTAGTCATTTTTCCTGGTAGGAAACAAGCCTTCAATAAAGCTAATTCTTTGTGGTACTTCCCCTCCCTTTGGTAAATCTTCCAGCAGTTTCTTCTACTTGAAAAACATGCACCACACATCATACATCATACATCATACATCATATTACCCAGTAGAGAATTTTCTTATCAATGGGGGGGGGGAATGCTTTATGGCACCTTATCGTCGGGCAGGCAATCGTATTGAATGTAGGCCAATTAATGCTACACTCAATTAGCTGGCTGTACGTTCAATGCCAATGATTTGAGAAGACATTTCATTAGGTCCGACTTGTTCCTCGGAAGTGACTCACACAAGGAATCGAATTGAATGGAGAGCAACTGTCGCTCTCTTTCTAGCCAAAAGCAAATTAAGCATTGGAGCTGGAGAT